TCCTCTCCTCCTTCTCCGTCGTGTGGCTAATACGATTTACAGAGAAACACGATCTGCGGGGTTTATTCTGTTTTCAAAATAAGGATGTTATGTACATTTAAAGAAGATTTTGACGCCGGCAGAGACGACACAATGGGACAGAGAAAGTCAGTCAGCCACAAAAACCGTTGAATTGGACGACGACGACGAGATGGAGAGAAAAAGGCAGCTACTAGAAGAGTCAGTCCAGATGGTAGATTAGACTATTGTTTGTCGGCAGAGAAAGGGCCGAGGAGACAAAGGGTTTGCCATTTGCTGAATATACATATGCCATACATCACCAAACATCAAAAGTTCGCTTATTCAGAAGAGTGCCCTTGCAGTTCATCATCGAGATAAAAAAATAATAATACAATCCACCCCATTCGCCATTTAGAACATCTTTACATAAATAAGTTCCCGATGGAAAGTCATTTCCTCCATAACTACACATACACTGATTATTTATGTGCATACGTAGTACATGCTGCATGCGACACATTTATCTCATCCTGCCATCATTGCGAGATTTTCTCCTTGATAAGTGTTGGAATGGCGTCGTTGTAGAAAATATTTCCTTCTCCACTGCTTCTGACACATATTTCCGTTCTCTTGTTCCAACCTAAACAACTTACACGAATGTACATATGTACACATCTTTGTATGTCAGCATTAATATGCTCACACATTTTTTTCCCTGTTTGCAAATAATTTGACAGCAATCTCAGCAGTATAAGGAGACTTGGCTTATATGGTTTTGAATTGCATGTCACACAAATTTGGCGTACAATTGAGATCGACCACAGAGATCGAGATTTTTTCCCCTTTTTCTATTTACATTGAGGCCGCTGCAAGGCCATCATCATGACGGACGACAAAGTGAAATCACATCAAGTAATGTGCTGGTAAATAGTGTACGCAGTGAACACGAAATCATCTCCTAAAATGGAGCGTGACAATGGCCAAGTAAATAACAGATGGTTGCTTGTTGAACCAACAACCTCCTCTTTGGATGAACCTTTCTCTCTCATCCTCCGTGGTGAAAGCTGCAAATAAAAGCGACTTGATTTCTCGTGGGAATTTCACCAAAACTTATTCACTCATGAGGCAAAGTCAAAACATGAATTTGCAACTGGGATTAAGGGAACTCATTCATTCATCGCCCAATCGTCGAGCAATATTTATTCCTGTTTCTCGTACATAGGTTTACTTACACACGAAGGAGGAGGATGTACATACGTATGCACAAGAAGTTCAATCTGTTCATCTTCGAATTGAATGACCAGTATCTCTCCTCCGTTATTAGTTTTGCACTGATGAATCCAAACTTATGCTGGCTTCTTATTTTATCCATTTTGCTTATTTACTGGAATCACTCTCTTTTGCAAATAGCCTCGTTTGTGAATGTCTTGAATAAATATTATCTTGTTCACTTACATCAAATGAAAGCAACTTACTCCTCGCTCGGAGGAGAAAGTTCACAGATTCCCATGATGCAGTGCGGCCCTCCTCCCCAAAGTAACGACAAGATGAAGATGAAGAAGAAGAAGAGGATATTTCGCCTAAGCGACATTTTGTCATATCATTACTTATAGATTTACTAACGAATGAGCAAAAGAAGAAATAGCAACAAGGAAGCCAACAGTGTGGGGCGCTTACTGTCATAAAATAGTTATAGTAATGCAGATGGAAAAACATGCTTAAAACTGAATGAGCTGTCATTTTCATCCTCGCTGAGGGAACGCTAGCCCCATTTCTACATACGTAACTGCAATATTTTGATGGCCAAGGATTTACTTTTGACTCGAAAATTACTCTGCTGCTGGTACATAGAAATAATGTCAAGGTATAAGTCAACTTTTGATGATCAGGGCGCACACATTATGTACGCGAGAGAAGAGGGAAAAACGACATCAAAGTTGGAAACTCAAACAGAGACAATCAAATTCTGGAAGACTTACTGATGAATAAAACCAAATCTGGCGAAGGTTAGTAAAATATTATACGATGCGGAATTTATAATGATTGGAAGTTGGGAAATGATTCTTGGAAAGTCAAGATAATTGGACATTATTTGCACAATCTTCATCTTGGGTTTCTCCTACTCCTACTTAAAGCGAGTAGAATGAGGATGTGGAATTGTGGATCATGGTGTCAAACCACAGTCCAAAGTTGGACGGACATGCGACGTGATTCGTACTTAATTGCCTTAATTAGCCTTTGTCAACTCTGGTTAATTATTTCTTTACCAAGAAGTTGTTGAATAAAGTTGGCAGCGCAGCAGTACGAAAAGTTTTAGAATTTTCTGCGGATAAGCGAACAAATAATTAAGTTGGGGAAGAGAATCATAGGGTTTTTCCCTTTTTGGACTCATCACAAATTTTGACGGGATCTCATTACTATTTACTTTTTAATATGCAATGAATTTATTTTATATTGAAAGTCAGAGAGAGAGACACGAAAAACTTTGACGGAACATTATGCAAAACAAAATTGTTCAATTAATACCCTTTGTTGACGGCTTTTCATTAAATTCAAAAGTCCTACTTTGCAGTATTTTACAAAATCCGCACAAAGTTGGTTTCATCAAAAATTCATAGCACAACAAGAACAGCGGAACTAAAGGAAGTTCTCTCTCTCTCTGTGTCATCACTTACTATTCCTATGCATTATTTGATAATGAGATTAGAGCACGTTTTTAGTTTTTCCATCCATGTAAACCCTTCGTTTATTTGCTGTCACAGCGGAGAAAAAGCCTCCAGCTTGGAAAACTTTTGTTTTAGAATTAGTTTCTAAAGTTGGGGGATTGCAAGGAGCAATTCCCCAATTACACTCGGAAAATGCCACTTTTTACACCGTGCAACACTCAATAAACTTGGATTTTACGTGTGTCCCTCCTCTCCCCTTGTTCGTACATAGGTTTACACAAGGAGGACAAAAACTTGCAAAAATTCAGTGTTTTTCTTTCATGCGTAAAGAAAGTAAACCTGCCTGACATTTACTCTTGCTTGTGATATGTACATATCTATGTGCTGGGCTTTCTTTGAACCACCACCACGTTTGTAATGGAGAGGAGAGCTTCACGGCATCTCTAGCTATTTATTTGTCTTGTTCTCCTGCTTACTTTCTCTCACGTAACATACACTTTCACTTCTCAAACATAGAATTTCAATTTTCTTCCCAATCGGCCAGCCACCCACTCTACTTTTTCCTGTTACGTAACAGACCTTGGTTTTAATTTACTCAAACATTTCGGCCCGATTGCTGCATGAAATTTCATGACGTGTTTAGAAAGTACATATTTAAGTGTTGCCCTTGTTGCATAATCCCCCAGAGTATTGTGAATTAACGAGTGCTTACTAATTACAAGCATGGATAGGTACGCAGGAAAAGAATGTGTCCCATCCTTCCCATCCAGAGACGCCCCAGTGAGCTTATCAAGCCCAAAATTCCGACTAATCTGAATTCAAATGACTTTAGTATTATTAAAATAAATAGTCGAATCGTCGTTTGAATAAGAAGCCTTGATTCCAATAATACAGCGTAATAAGCTGCTTTCGTAAGCCTGCTCAGGATTAATTTCAACTTGGAAAACACGAATCAAAGAAGCAAGTAACGCGAGAAGATGTCATTAATTAACGGTGTTTAACAGTAACTAAGTTAGGATTGTGAGCGTACATTCGTACATTATGTGTGTGCATGAACGTAACTCGACCTACCGAAACCAGCACCACCAGGCAGCAAGCAGCCTTTTAAATGAAATTGAAAAGAGAATAATTGATGACGAGTGAAAATGTTGTTTGTAATTTCAGCCTCCTGCACCAGACCACCAACCATCAACAACCGTGTTCGACATCGTTACGCTGCTGCTGCTGTTACTTTAGTAAACTATCCCTGTTTACATATGCATCCAAAGTCGGCCTGATTATTTCCATGTGCAAACAACGAACGGTGTATGCAGAAGAGGAGACAAAATGTCAACATGTAGTGCAAACAGAATTCTTAATTATACCAAATTACTGCTTCTGATTGGTGTCATCTAGTCAACAACAGGGAGGGATGTAGAGCACCGAGGAGGTAAAGGGTCGATCTGGTTGGTGTAGTAATTGTAAATTCACTCGGGCACACATTCATACCTATGTATGCAATAGTTAATATGCAGGTAAAAACGCTCCCAACCCTGTTTTTGCGACACTAACTGGATAACGAAGCAGACTAAATTAATACAAACTGGATAATTAAATTAAGTTTGATACTAATTTTATTCCCAGATTTGAGGTGCTTCAACGAGCAAATATACATCCGACGAATGGCATTGGCACAATCATTTCATAACAACCAAGGTCCCTCGCCCCTAGTTATCTTGCATACATAAATCTCAATAAATGCAACTGTGTCACGCTGCAATGCGTACCCGTCATCGCATAAATAAACCATATTTGAAATAATTTCGTAATCGGAGTCCAATGAGAGGGAAAAAGGTGATGGGAACGTGACTTTTTCGACTTGGGTTCGGTTGTCGGTGCAGTTTTACGTGTGTCTGGTGAAAGCCATGAAAAATTTAGTCTCAAGTACACCGTAAGCCGTCGGCATGACTCACAACATCAAATATTGTAGAATGTGTGCCTGTATCTAAATATATACACACATTCTTTCTTTCCTCCTTCCTTCCCCCTGAGCCTGAGTGTGTTTGTGTGTTTACTATTGCTGGCTGCAGCTTAAAAATATTGGAGCTAAATACATACAACACACACCATGGCTGAGCCCTGGTCATGTTTTCGTTAAAAATCGATTACGACTGAGAGCACGAGAGGTGCAATTGTGTATAATTTTTTTTAGTCCTTATTTAGTTTCATGAAACTAAGTTTCCCGTCTAAGGCAGCATGTGAAGTGAAAGCTGCTAGTTTCTTGGGGGGAGTGCGGCAATAAATGCAATAAGATCCCCGTTATAATACAAAGCAGAAGAGTTTTTGTAGTCTTACCAGATGTCCCCAACGGATAGGATGGAGATCAATCTCAAAGTGCAATTTCACCTTTGGTACTTTTTTCCTCCTGGTGGACGCCTCGACGTGGCAACGAATGGTGTACAATTGATATTAAATCTCAGCCTTCTTGTCAAACCTTGTTGTTGAACAGTCTCACTTTGATCTTGCAAATGTAAAAGGTCTCTTCTCAGAATTGAAAAGTATCGTGTGCTCCAGTCGCATATGTGTCTTCAGCTCATGTCAAACTCATCCTTCAGCCTGGAATTCAAATTTAAAGTGGAGTCATCCAAATCATTTAAACTGTCGTTGCATTCCCTACATTCAGATGTGCTGTTCATACCGACTTTCTCCAAGCGAAGCGGAACACCAAAAATGCCAGACTTGACTAGAATATCACAATTTAATCATACAAAGTGGCATTTACGCCGTGACACGTCTCCAGTCGCAGTTACAGTAACAAACCGTTTTTTTTCTCGGTCGTTTCGTTTACCGGAGGACTACCGATCAGCTTTCTCTCACCGAAAGTGTTTATATTATACGTAGTTTGTAGTAAATAGTCACCACCGCTGCTCAATCACTCTGTGATGAACAAAATGCCATATGGCTGCCGGGGTGGAAAGGGGAGCTAATAATTGTCTGCATATATAAATTCGTTTCTTACTGATTACAAGTTGGAGGCCACACTGATTCCTCGGTGCGGGTGGTTCGGTGCATGTATTTCGACTTTATTTAGAAAAGGGGGCCCGGCTGCTGGGAAGAGGAAGGGAAAGTCGGGATAATGCCATCCTCTCTCTCTCTCTGACTTGTAGATATTTATGGGATGGTAAAAAGTACACACTGAGAAACTGAGATCGTATTATTATTATTATTATATAACCTTCTCACTAACGTACGGATAAGTCTTTTTATTCACGCGGAGGCTGCTATTTTGTATATATTTTTTTGTCCTTTATACATAAAATTGGCCAACTTTCTTTCAACTTTCTCAAGGATTTATACAAGCATAAAGAAAATGAGGGGAACTTTGATATTGATGATGATGACGGTAGTCGTCATGTGTATCTCGTTGGCTAAAGATCTCGACTCTGTAATTCGCTCAGCTATCTCTAGCAACCAATAATATGTAGTGATATGGCTTGGTTTTATGTGGTTTTATTAAATTTTTTCGGGAGCAACCCGACTATGCCTTGCTCTACTTGAGGAGGAGGATTAAAGACTGGAGTCAGTTGGTTTCGAGCAAAGCCTGAAATCCTTCTTCTCCCAGTCTCTGCCTTCCCAAATGCCTGCGTATTTACAACTACAACCAAAAACTACTCACGCTCTTTCTCTGCTTTCCCTCTCTCTCTCTTTCATTCTTCAACCCTCCTCACTCTCTCCGTCCGACTGACTGAAGCGTGCACAATGTCGTCGTGATGGGGCAGCCAAGTGTGTCCTTCTTCGTCTACGGCACGATCTGATCTCACTCTTCGAACATGAAACAAGAAGTGCTCTCCCATTCCTCCCTGTAAAAGGGCGAGATTTGATTAGAATCGATCTCGCAAATGCACAACTCATCCCTCATAAAACTATCAGAGTTGACATTCACCCACAAAATTTTAACAGCTTTTGTCACCTCACCGATTGGGCGAATTAGACTCGCAGACGACGACGAGGACGACGACGAGGACGGGAGGGATGATGCTAAGGTTGGTTTGAGGACCTAGATTTCGATCTCTGGAGGCAGGATGATTTCGATGAGATTGATGAATGCTTCTTCTTCTTCTTCTTGGAGGAAGAAGAAGACTGCTTCCACCACCAGGACCGGAATGGATTGGGGTTGTAGGTTGTCGTGAGAGCAATAAACGAAACCATTCATCCAACTGGAGAGGAGAGAGAGAGAAAGCTTTCCCTTATGGAAGGCAGGCAGTAAACAGAAGAAGCAGCAGCTAGCAGATGGAAGGCAGAAGAAGAAGAAGAAGGGTACATGGCATTTTAATGGATATTTGGTCCACATTATTATGCACTATGCACCAAACCAAAGAATCCAGTAGTGGTGGTCGGTCGTAGGTGTTTTGGAGCAGTACATTACGGTGTGTCATAGTATCGGTGCAGGACTGGTGGAAATTTGCAGTCTTCCACGATCCGGACATTCGAGAGAGTGGGATGAAATGACTCGGTATAATTTCCAACAAAGTGTATTGAGTTGGTTTGTGTACGTACGGTGGGTATTGTTGCATGGAGTCTGCATGAGGGAAAATGAGGAGAAGGAAGGTTCCAGGTTTTCATCCGCGTTTCAGAAAACGATCCATACTCATATTCTCCAGACTCGGGCACACTAAATGAGTACACTAAATTTCTTTCTGTAATACCATTTACAGCTCAAATTAATCCCAGACGGCCACTTGTCGTCATATTCAAATTGCCTTATCCACAAGCTGTGCTTCATGCTGACCCTGCACTTTGAGGAAAATGGAGATCCGCATACGTATTCGGCAACAATGGAAGCAAGGAAATTTGATTATACCGATATTTTGCAGAATAGGTATCTTGATAAAAGTGGAAAATCTGTGGTGCTTTGTTGCTTCTGCTTATGCATTGAGCAAGGGATTTTAGTTCGTTTGGTTAATCTGCTCTGCAGCAGGTGTCTCGCTCACGCATACGCCTTCATGCACAAGCACAAGCTTTGATTCAAAATAATAAAAAATAAACATTATTAATTATAGCTTAAAAAGCAATTAATACGCATTATGCATACATACTTAATTTAATTCATAGCTAAATAAGTGAGATTTTTACTTATTTCTAGATATCTCTTCTTATTTTTCATAAAAGTTAATTTATATTATAAATTCGCCAACGGCAAATAAACATGGAAAAACGAACTTGCTTTCCATTTCGAAAGCGTTGGTTATTCTAATATCCAATTATATACTAATATTTTAAGTGCTCCTGTGTTTGTTCCAATGATTCGATATTGTTGGTACTCGAGCGGATTATGGGGTGATACCGAAAAGCCCGAGTTTAAAAATGTAAGCGAAGTTTGTTTTGGAGAAAAAAATATTTGTATTGGATTTATCGGACGACATGGTTGTTTTAAAAATGCAGATATATTTATTCCTAGCTTTCAATACACACTTGTATCATCTTCAGGGACAATTTTCGAAATCAAAATCCTCAAAAAAATATTAGTTGCGACCTGAATTGTGGCAATCCCATATTCATCAAATTCAGCTGGTGCAATTTATCGTATTGTTCTGTGGACTTTTATGAAAATAATCAGATTGTCACATGTGCAATGAATAATTAATATTTTTCTATAAAAAATTAAATTTAAAATTGTTGAAATTAATTACTTTTCGGAGTGCAAATCAAAGCGAGGGGAAGAGAATGGAAGTGGAGTTTTCTCATTCCGCCTGAAAAAAATTGGCCGTTTTTTGAACTTTGACCTCAAATATTTTGAGTAACTCTCACCATCGCACAAACTGCCTGAAGAAACGTTAGTTGTATTGGCTTGGACCACCTAATTTTAAAATTTCAGCCAAATCGGAGGGTTACACTTCACACCATCGCATTGTTAGATGAGGAACCGCAGGATGAAATCCCTCCCCAAAAAACATTTTTATTTTATTGTCCACAATGTTGAACATATTCGTTTCTTTTCTATTTTGTAGAAACTTTATCCCGTAAAAACAAGGTGATATCAAAAGTCAATTTCGCACAGAATAATTTATACATGAATATGCCAGACAGGTTCACTTGACATGCAAATTTCATCCACAAAGGGAGAAAAATAACAATACAATGAGGACAAGTGAACAAGACGTGAGAATAATGTGAGAAATAAATATGGAAAACTTGATCTGCAGTGGTTGAGGTGCTTTCACAATTTGATTTTCGCAAAAGAATACAAGAAACTATGTGTAAAAGTGCAAAACTAAATATGTATTGACATTCTGGCTATTGCCACATGTAGACGATTACGTATATGTTCATCTCCTCCGTTCAATTCTCTTTATGTTTCTGCACATTTGTAATTCAGCCACATCTCCCTTCCGAAGAAGAACACGATAGGGCTGGATGGATGAGGAGGATACTGGATAAATCCATTCCCATGAATAACACACAACACGACTGCACAGTCCGTAGTGCGATACTCTCATGCCCTTCATTCACGAAAGACAAGACAACTTTTACTCCAAGACCGGTCGTTCTCCAACTTGGCATCATGATCATCCTCGAGTGAAAGTTGAGGATATAAACATGGCCCACATTCAACAAACACTAACCCACGGACGGAGGTGGTACTGCAAGTCACTGCAACTTATGAGAGCCAGCGTCTCGCTCAGAAGAAGTGAGTAAAGCTGAAACGTGTTCAGAATCTTCCCATAAACACTTGTTTACCAAAGAAGGTTGAATAAGGGATGACCCAATGTGGTGATAAAATAGTGTTGTGATGTACTGCTGGACTGCCCTTCTTGCAATTCTGAATTTAGGTGAATGTGCATTTTAGAAATTTAATTCACTCTAAAACCAAGGGGATCAAAGTTTTACGACATCCCGTCGCTTTGACATTTAGCTCAATGCATTTAAATGAGGGATGAAGGATATACGATCGTATTATTATCGTGTGCAATAATTTTTTAACGGTGTGATTTTTATGAGGGATTCAAAATTTGGATTACAACTTGCAATAAAAAAAGCGATCTTGTGGAGCTACATATAAATTTCTGGGATATCAAAGCATTGTTAAGAGCATATCTAAAATTGTGTTCTTCACTGAACAAAACCTGATTGTGGTTGGTACTTGCTTTCCGACGGACAACTTCTGGGAATAATTGCGCCTCATTTTCCCGTGACCCTCACGCCTCGCAAAAGTGTAAGGAAGAAGAGGATGTCCTAGTTTTGCATGGTTGTTGATCCCCCTTCAAGTAGTGTAGCTGAGGAGAGTTACATATTATATTATTGGAAAAGACGATGACGGCGAAGAGGAGGAAATGGCGAGCTGAGAGTCGTTCCACAAATGCTTCAATGGCATTCCAGTAAGGAATCATCGAGGAGAAGCACTTCCCAATCCGGATCGAGAACTTTCACTACTTTCACTTCCACGAGGATCCTTTCCTCTTCACAATCCTTATAAAATATAGATCACGAGATTGAAGAATCTCGAACTGGGGCTTAGCATTATTACTACTACGCGACTACAAAAGGTGCAGAAGGAAGAGGAGAGAGAGAACCTATATTTTGGTGAAAGCAACGAAATCACAGTTCTCTCCTCACCCTCATCAAAAGAATTTGTCGCAAAATCATCATTCAACGAACGGAAATGCGTGGTTGCCTTCGAGATTTGTTTGGAGAGATCCTTGTTGTTTTTGAACTTTGCTGCTACACATTGTTTTTGGTCTTTATCCTTAAATCCTACAATCATGATCATGATCATGCCACGCCACGGGGCCTGTGCATTGGCGATAATGGTCAATTCTCTCCCTTTTCAAAGCAATCTATAACAGGAAATCCTTATTTTTTTTATTTAGTCGGGGTATGAATTTACTACTCTCAAGATGATGGTGCGTTGCGTCCTTATTGGGCCAATAATCTTGGTTCTCATCTCATCTCTACCTTTGGTGGGGTCCTAGGTGGTGAAAGTGGCAGTGGAGAAACAATAATGACTCCATGCGTACGTACATGGACTGAAACATTAATCTTGTCGATGAAGAAAGTCTCTCCTCTTAGATTTCCCTCTGATCTGCTCCATAATGCGAGAGAGAAGGGATGGAAAAATTGAAGAGAGTATCGAATTGAGCAGTTGACGAAATGTAACTGTGCACATTCGTAGCATTCGGAGTCCAACAAAAAGTATGTGTCCTCCTTATCCCGTCCTTTGGAGAGCATAAATCGTTCTCTGGAGGGGACAAACAACGTCGGAGCGAATTTATTTTTTCGGCGGACGGAGGACGTGCATTATGGAGGACAACTTTGTTATCAGAGAGGATACGCAATATGAAGGAGGGAACGCTCTAACTCCTTCGCAGTGCCGAAAAAAGGTTTCTTTTCATTCTCGAGATGTGTGTATTTAATGAAAGCAATGACAAAGTATTGTGTTGGTGTCGTGGAAAAACCTCAAAAAAGTTTCATATTTCCTTTCTCAACTTTATCAATTTTTTGCAATATGAGCACGACATAATCATCATCTAGGACTTCATCTAGTACTGAATGAAATATCTTTTGTGTGGTTGTGTCAGAGGAGGCGGCTATTATTCTTTAACAATTTCTGACATTATTAGTTTAGCCAAAAAGCCAGTATTTGGAAAAAATTTGGGATTGTTTTACTTTTTCAAATTGTTTTCAAATTGCCCAGGGAAGGATGGAAATGGTCCAATTTCCGCAAGGATTTGTCAATACAACTTGTTTCACAAGCAAACATGGTTTCAGAAATCATCTTAAATATTTACTGTGCAGTTTTGGAGAAAATGTGATCTCACACATTCAACGTTGTACGTTATAAAATGGTCACAGCAAAAATGTAACCACAGTCCAAAATATCGGTCAGACTTACAAGGTATGAAGTAATATGTGAAAAAATTGAAACGAGACAAACACAATCAGATAATTGACAGAAATTTTATTTTGTCAATAAAGCTGATTTTTTTAAGTTTTTCTAACTTTCGTTTAAAATAATTTAAAATGTCAGTTTTGCAATAGTTGTACACGTTTATGTATATATGGATTCTTTTTTTTAGATGTATTACACATAGGAGTACCAACTCGGAATTGGAGACCAATAGCAAATGGTCCGACAATCGCGTTAAGTAAAAATATAAAAGGCGATTCACAATCATGGAATTCTACATGCAAATGTGGCGGTGGCGTAAGTAGTAAACAATAGACAAATGTTGAAAGACCGTATCATATATCTCGTCGTACATACATTATGTATCTACCTGAGTGTGTCCCTACTAATACTATTACATAATAAATGTTGGAATGCTACAGATTACATATACAATATCTTCTGCTTGATTGTTTTACCTGACGAGGAGTACAAATCTTTCATTGTGTGAGTGATTATCACGGATAATAATAAAATTCAATTCAGCACACATGGTTAGTTATCTTTGTGTTATCAATAAAAATAGCTTCATGGTCTACTAACAGAAATATGAAACAGAAAACATGGAGATTACTCTATGAGTCGTCGAATTAACTGAAGGCTGATGTCATGAGGACACTGCTGAGACGGAAGGGATCGCTGTGTTTCGGGCCTCTGAGACTCCACTCCGTCTTTTGCGGAAGCAAAACCAAGACATGCGGTTTCTGCAAATACAAATATTGTATGTTATGTAATTATTTATTCTATGCATGCGACCCAAGTTAATAAGCAAGTATTTAATTTGATGTATTACTTGATAATTGATGATGACGAGGAGGATCGAGACACAAAGTATTCTTCATTTTGTGTACTTGCTTGCTTAGCCGCAAGCAAAGCTTGTGAAACATCCGATGGAAATAATGAGTTTTCTAAGCATCGCACGATTAACCTAAGAGTTTTTAATTAGTGTTTTAAGGCAGTTGTAACAAATCGTTGTTTTTTCTGAAAAAGTTAATAAAATAGGAGATGAAACGAACCTTGGTAGCACTGCGAGAACCGTGGTGACGGTAACAATTAACCAGTGTACTGGTGATGTAATTAGCTCATGGATAACCCAAAATGGATTCTCGAACCCCAAACAGTTGATGCAAACCGTATTATAAATGAACGCAAATCCATAAAAAACCAAAATAGACGCCACAATGGACAAAACGTGAATTATCGTCTGAAACAATAAGCACAGTAATTCATATGGTACAATACTTGCTACAGTCAATAACTATGCATTAAAATGTTAGCAAAATGACGTACCCAAGACTTTGCTTCTATGGCCATGTGAACTAAAAAATATAAGGAAAAATATCAGGGTTCCCCACTGTGTTAAATAATTCAAATCGGATGGGATATACGACTAGACCTCATCATTCCCCTCTTCCTCCCAGTTATTTTACTTATATTCACCAAATTCTTCTCATCCTCTCTCGTTATGGCACCCAAGAAAAGTATTCCCCCAAAGGATAAGAAGTCGGTGGGTGACGAGAATACAGGTAAACACTAAACCTCTTATGTTTAATTGTATTTTTTTGCTAACTTTCACTTATTATAGTTTCTCCTACTGCCGGTTCGTCTTCCTCTTCTGCTGTTGAGCCACCTCAAAAACAGAGGAAAGTTGAAGATGTCAAAGTTTGGACAATGCTGCCCGTTGAGAAGGAAGTGTCGACGATTGAGCACCGCTACCTTATTAACCGGCAGTGTGTTCAATTAAGAACAACTCACGCAGAATGGTGTGCACCCGGTCAAGTGCTAAAGACTACACAGAAGAAGACGGTCAAGCAAGGTGATCATATTTTTTAAATACTAAAATTACTACATGTTACTGATGATATTTTTCATCTTTTTTATAGATCAAGGAGTAGAAAAAATAAAGAAAAAGTTTTATGAGCTGGCCAGACCACAAGTGGTTGAGGAAGAAATCAATTCCGACCCCTTTTTTTGCACTCCTTCCACTCCAGAAGGTATCGTTGCAAAAGTGGAGAAGCCATTGACCCAGCAAGAACGGGAACGATCCCTTAATTTCATTAAAGCACAACCGGGTGGAGTTCCAATCGAGGAGACGAATATGACTCTAAAGTGGAAGGTGGCTGGAGGTTCATGGTCACACTCTTCTCTAGTTGTTTCTGTGGGAGATGACAAAAGAACCAGAGATTTCAACATTTGTATCACTCCTGGTACGACAACGAGTAGTACTAATAATAATAGTACATACAAGTGCTAATTCATGTAATTTTTTAAATTTAGAATGCTTCTCTTACCAAGGGACGCTTGCTTCCGAAGCTGAACCACGCTGCTCAAACGACAAGGGGCCGAAGAGTAGATTTGTGATAGCAGAATACACCGATAATAGCAACAAAGATGAGATCGTGATATTTCATGTTATGGCGCTTTTTGTGTATGAAAGTGAGACCATGAAAAGGGAACGAGCAGTAACGTGCTTGAAGAACCAGATATCACGTAGTCCCAACAATCCTTGGCCAGAATATGTTGCTGCACAGGAAACGAACCATTGTCCCACCCCCACCCGAAAAGAAGTCAGGATGCTATGTGACTTTGAAACAGAAGAGGAGGCGACTAAAGTATTCTCTGCCTGGCAGGCAAGTATTTAGTATTGCAATTTGTAATAATAATAATGAATGATAATTGCTAATTGTCCTCAATTTCTTAATCTAGTCTGTTACGTTGATGAGAAAGTTGATTGAGCCCAACACAACCATCCAAATTCGATATCTGAACAAGATGGTCAACTTGCCGAATGGGGCTGAGAAGGAGGTGATTGAAGAGATGGATAAATGGGGGGTGAATTTGTCAGTTTCGAGTGTGATTGATGATGAGGCGGAAAGGGCATCCATTTCTTACCCATTTGGAATAAAACGACAAGGTTATGAAGGGCTGGCGTCGATGGTCACAAAAGATGAAGTCGGTGCTCTCTATGTCGTCTCAAATCCACACATCAACTACTTTGGAAAGACGATCTCAGGATACAACCTACACTTACCCACCAACACCAATGACACAGTGACCCAATATTCCAACAAGTCAGGATCACTGCCTTGGGAGCTAATCCCCCTCGGATCTTGTCCCCTCGCCGATTTAGAGAAGAATGAGGCTCACCTCCACGTGTGCAACATGTTTGCCCATCTGCTCAAACTTCGCCAGAGTTTCGTGTCAAAAGACCCTCCCTACAAGTACCCAGCAGGACAAGTAAAGAAGAATCAAAGCCATCCAATCTGTTTGAATAAATCTACTAACTGCAAGTTCTTCGATAATGAGACGATGATCAAAGTCAACTTGTTTATGAAAAAATTCTATGGGGTTGGAATCAACCTTGGTCCTAACGATTGATAATTAATTGTATATCACCAGTTTTATACATATTTTTTGTACGGTGCAATATTCAAGAGAGAAGGAGATTATTGTAATAAAAATGTGAACTAACCCAACATGGTAAACATGCAGGATACCACAATAGTTGTCCCAAATTCAAACATACCAACATCTGAGCCGCTGTAAGCCTACGATTTAAACATTGTATTTAGATTACATTTTACTGGAAATTTATCAAGATAAAGATCCCGTCAAGCTCGACTTACCCCATATGACATGAAGAAAATTACAACGCTCTGATATAATGAGTCCAGCATATTTAGCCAAAATGAATGAGCCTGATGAACTTTCTGGAGTCTTCCTTGTCCATATAATTTGGGACAAGCAAGTAAAAGGTCTGCAGGACAGTCTTGATCGTATATGCCTAATATCATAGAGAATGATTAGAACTCAATTATTTTCATATAAAACAAAACTGCATTCCACTTTACACTAAAATTGCTTACCAATTGCCATTGGGGGCAGGGCAGTAAAAAATAAATTAAACACCATCAGGTACATTTGATCTACAATTTGATTTGAATAAATAAATACAGGTTGTTATTATTATTTCATCCATTTTTGCTTATTTATGTATCAAGTAATTGTGAAATAAATCTAACAAATAAATCTTACCTATCATCACAGAACCGGACCAACCATTCAGTAATTGATACCAAAAAATCACAAACACGAACGCCTATAGGATCAAAATAAATCAACTCTTGTCATTTTAACTTCCGTAAAAAATGTAATAATGGAAGGACGTGTAAGGCTTACGGCATTTTTGTAGAAAAAATACAATATCATTCTTGCTAGCCGGTCATAGCACCAGTGACCATGTACGAGTAAAAGGCGTTCCAAATACTTAAACTTTGAAATAGCGAAATCAGACGCCATAACGGCTTGCATCCCTTCCTTTCCCGATATGCCAATTCCTACGTCGGCTCTCTGAATCATCGACACGTCATTGGCTCCGTCTCCAATGGCAAGTGTCCTCATCCCTAGCTGTTCTTTCACGCTGGTAACTATGAACGCTTTCTGTAGAGGAGTCGCGCGACAACAAAGTACCGATGAACAATGCTTCGTTAAACTTAAAAATTTGGTAATGAGTTGAGTTTTATGGTCTAAAATATATCTGTACAAATAATACAAGAAATAATTAATTTACAAAAATATTATAAAAACTTAATTTGCAAGGGTTAAAAAATCAATGTTGGTATAACGAGTACTTACGTGAGTGTTTTCCCATCTACAACTAATGCACGCTCTTTATTTGTCAAAGGAGAGCACAATTCTGAGGGACGACGATGTACCGAGTTACTTGCTTCCGAAGAAGCATTCTCTCCAGTTCTTATTTTCTCGATTTCATTGAGATAAAATAAAATAGAGCTTTCTGCTTGGTCCTTACTTCTTGAATTGAGTATGACAATATCCATGTTGGAGGTAAAGAGTTTACACGAGTATGCAATATTCACTGCCGTTTCTTGCTTGTCGCCAGTTAAAACCCATACGACGATTCCGGCATTTCTCAACGCTTCAATAGTTTCTGGCACCCTATCCTGAAGTCTGTCTTCTATTCCAGTTGCTCCAACCAACTCCATGTTGTTTTCCATTGCACTATAAGCTTCAGATAAAAGTTCGTCCCTGTGATTAAGATCCAGTTCAGCCTGATGAAATTTAATTAGCCAATCTCTGTACTCATTTTCACTAAGGACTCGTTTGGCCTATAATTTAAGATAACACGAAGTAAGTAAAACATTTAAGTAATTTTCCCTAAAACAGATTTGTAAAAATCGACGAAATAGCGTAAGAAGACATACCATGACTAATGTGCGAAGACCTTCACGAGCATAATTGTCAATCTGAGTTTGCGTTCGATTAGCCAACTCTGTCTGTATAACATCTACAAGATTAATTATAAATTAATATTACAAACATGTGTGCATAAGTAGATGGTGAATCAAAAATGATATTTAATATTCCCTACCAATTCGCTTAAGTTTAGAAAATATAGCAGTGTCAGCCCCTTTGCAGTACATGATAATTTGATTTGTTTGAGGATGCCGTACAACTAATGACATTCGCTTCCTCACAGAGTCAAAAGGGAATGTGTGTAATATTTCATATTTCACCGGCCCATCACCTATTCCGTCAGAAATACACACGGCACGTTAGTGAATTCCAATATAATGGACAACATAATGAGATGAGATGCGATTCGTGAATGTTTTATATAAATAAAATACCTGGCATCATCACAGTAAGAGATTGTGGAGATCGTTTAATTAACCGACAGTTGTATAAATACGCAGCTTCAACGAGTGCCTACAAACAATTTTAGATTAAAATTCGCCATTAACATTAAATAAGAACAAATTGCCATTTACCAGTTCATCTGGACTTTCAGCTTCGAATATTGGTTTTGGCTCCATCGGGGAAGGCGTATTAGTGGGTGCGGCAGATGAGTTATTTAGGAGTAGAGTTTTGCTCAACTTTTTGGATAAAACATTTTGAAACGTTAAAAATCGAGGTCTTTGAGCTGGTGACTCGGTTGGAGTAGTTTCATTGGATGAGGAAATGGGAGAAAGTGGTCTAGTGTCTGGCTTGAGCATCAAATGTCTACTAGGTCGCCTAACACCTTGTACTTGGTTTGGAATCACTAAATCGTTTGTACATATATTTGTTTGCAAAGAATCGCTTCGAAGCGAGTCCTGACGACTTTCAGGATTCGACGATTGGAAGTCAGTAAATGATTGAGAAGTAAAGGAAGTATTGTTGATGGAGCCAGCTAAAGACGAATCCATGGATTCCCGAATTACAGATAATCTGTGAGCAGCAACTTCTCCATCCGGTTCCTCAACATCTCCATGATCGTTCATCTAGTTTATATAAACGATATGATTTTTTAAATGGGGCCATAATACAAAACTGTCGAGGGTATAGTAATGGTTTTCGATATTAACATCCTGTTACAATAGTTTAATGCGGAATCCGTTAACATAGAAGAGTAAAACAAGTACTTACTTTGTCAACGTGGGGATGCTTTGCGACAACTACTGTGTTGCAAATAGCAAGTATGAGAAAGAACTCCTGAAAACATTGGAAAAATTTAGTAAATCGGCAATGACCTCCAACATAAAATTGTTAAAACGATTAATACAACTCTTGTAAACTTGAAAATGATTGGGTATGACTCTAAAGCTCGGAAACCCAGCTTTTGTTTACGCTGTCTACTATATATACTACTTGCACTTTTAACTTCATTTAAAACTCCTTTTTAATTGTTATATTAAACCGTACTTACTCGGATTTTCTCTGCTTTCTCCGAGTATCCTTCTTGCAAATTTCCAGACTCGACTGAAATCTGAATATTCCATTGCCCAAACAACTCGTATAATGTTGGGTTCACTTTCAGAGACGGGAATAGATTTGGTCTGTCCCGAAACGACTGGGATAATAAAAATTTATGTGTTTTAGAGAATAGAAGTACTTAATCCAATAAAATTACACTATAATTGTGTCATAATAACTTACAGATTCATCCGGCATTTCGGTATGATTATAGTCAATGGCTCCAATAGCGCACCTTCGGAATATCATTTTATTTTCCGTTAAAGTACCAGTTTTGTCCGAAAATATATACTGAATCTGTAAAATAAATAAATCAATTATTTCATTTACATTCCCTATAAACTTATATTTCTTGTTATCATAGCTTTCTAGTTTAATAACCAACCTGTCCCAAATCTTCTGGAATATTCATAGCTCGACATTCTATCCGTTTATTTGTTTCCGGATCAAATAACTCAATATCGTTTTGAATGTGATAAATTTGCATTAACTTGGTTAGCTCAATAGTCACGTACAGTGACAATGGTATCATGACCTGTCACATACAATGAGAAAAATGTATATGAGAACCTACATTCACTTGAACTAAGGGCTAATAAATAGTAAATATATATGTTTGACACACCTGTAGAATGATAATGAATGTCAGAAAATTTGTAAAAATCTTGGTCCAAACGACCCCCGGTTCCTTTGTATCTTCGGTTTCAATTATGAAAGGCACCCCGAGTTCATCAAAGGTAGACAGCCAGAGGGCTGAACCAGTGGCACCAACAATACAAAGCACTGCCAAGATCACAACGCACCAAACGACTTCTAAATTCATGAGTTTTTCCAATCCAGTCCTTTTATGACGAGGACCCCCATTGTTCAACATGGCTTTAGTGTCGCGCCCTAACAAGTAAAGAGTAAATTGTATATGTAAATAAGTAAAAATACCGTAAAAATTATTGAGGCAAATGGATAGGGAGAAAGTAAATAAACTTACCAGCATATACAACAAGTCCTTCAACATAGTCTGTATTCTATTAATGTAAAAAAAATCTTGTCAAATAGAGGAGCAAATTATCCCTCTGATAAAAACTGATTATTAAATTGTAACTTATGAAAATAAACAACGGATATAAACTACAGATCTTGTATTAATACGTTTGTATAAGATATGGGTTACCCACCTTAAGACAGCAATCTCGAAGGAGAAGGTTTTCTTTAGTAACGGGCACTTGCTGTGTATCTGGATGGATCATTTTACCTAAAATTTTAAAAATGATCGTTCATTTCTTCGGATTTTTTCATAATTTTTCATTCCATACAGCATCAAAAGGGAAAATACTTACCATTGAAATGATAGATTTTAGTCGTCGGAAGCCCAACTTCGACTTTGCTGTTGAATTTGTTGACATCAAAAGCAGCATGCTGAAATTGGGAAGTAGGGCAGAAATGTAGTCATTAAAAACATTTGATACTGCTGGCAGTAAAATGGCATCATTATTGTTATCGCCATCCATCACCAGGACTCACTTTATTAGTGAAACCTCGAACAACCTCCCGTGGCTTCAGGTTGCTTTCACCGTCCAAATTCATAGTCTCAATGTAGCACAATCCGTTCGGGTCGCTTGTTTTCAGGACTAAAATATCCGCAGGGATAACCTCGTTACAGCTGAGGTGGACTACATCTCCAACTCGAATATCTTTCCATTTGACACTCTCCCACCGGTTTTCATGCCTGGAAGGAGGAGAAAGTTTTAGCTATCAGTCAGCCTCGAAAGTGGAAGGAAAGTGATATCAATTTAACAGACTATCGAATTATATATTAATCCAATTTAATAAATTAACTTGTGATGGTTGGCTGTCACCAAAAATGACACCTTATAATATGCACACATAAATATGCGTGTTTAGTTTAATAAAAGGAATTTTCCATCTCCAGAATATGTATGGAAAGAAAGGAAGAGAGTGAGCGTGTGTCAGTTTGAGTGCGCTCACTCAGTGTGGAGTCCGTGAGTGTCATTGTTATGCTATGCATGTCAATGTCATTTATCTCTTTATATTCTTGTTTTAATATTTACAACTCGTCTTACAACCAACTCAACAACATATCCATTACGTTCTCGCATTAAGCACAACAATCCTTGTAAATATATAAAACGTATAAAAAATAACATCAACACGAGCTGACTGCGAGAACATTATATAGCACACTCTGTGAAAATCAATGTCAGCCCACAAAGGTAATAAACATTCCAGAAGAACCCTTGCCATTTTATTGTCACCGTATTGAGAGGCAAAAGAAAGCGGTGGCTACGTGTCGATGAAAGCTATGCAAAATTCATGTGCACACAAGTATTTAGTAGTAGATTACAAATTCGATAGCACCAAATTTTCCATTTCCATTGTCCCGAAAATTCCGCCTTTTCATACTAACCAAACCGCACAAAAAGCTAAACTGACTGAAGTTCATCACAAAACAGCATATGCACAATAATACACATGTACGTACACCAGACCACCGCCAAACGTGGCGACCGTATTTCCAAGTTGTAAGCTAGTTGTGAACGCATAAACGACATTGACAATGCTGCCCTTTCTTTATTCTTCTCCAACTTGCATAACTGTCTGAACGACGAGTATCAGCAGGGGCTAAGATAAACCTTAAATATTCATGATGTTTGTGGAGTGTAATTCATGCAGGTAACACTGAACTGGTTGACCAATTCTTCCAAACGATGTGCAAACCTGACATATTTGCGATAATTTGAGTCTCCTCCTAACTCAAGCTTAAAAATTGGCGATGATAATGGTCTACACTCAACGCGTATATATAAGTGTGTGTATATATTTTATATATGCATCCTAATTTATGTGGCGTAGATTTTTGTAGGTAGGTGGCTTTGCTTGGCTTTGAAAACTTGGAAATCCGACATCCTGCTCGAAGTGATAAGGTTTTGTACCCCAACTCAATTTTTATTACAACCATGAATCCACGAATTAAGCAAACACATTTATCGTATGATAACATAACATGTGAGTGACGATGCAGGGTCAAGTGCTGCTGACAATGTGCAATAAAAAACGTGGACGTGACATATGTAGTACGTACGTCGCATTTCAATGCGTCAATGTAATGAAACAAGTTATACAATTTATTTAATTAGCTAATTAAATAAACTATTTGGCGAACAATTTTCAATGAAAATTAAGTGGAGAATGAGCGCACCCACCCAATTATTTAAGTTAGTCTTACAAGTTACCAAATTTTTTGCTGATTAAAAACGAAAACGGATTAAACTATCAGGGCAGCGATGCACAAATTTTAATTAGCGAGAGGAGTGAAAGTATAACTTTTCTCTAGAAGAATGAACTCACAAAAGTGAATCGCAACTTTCACCTTGACACATTTCCCTCTGCTTATTAAGCAAGACTTCCCGAATTCTACAGATTACTGAGAGCAGAGTTATTCATTACTTGATTCGCAAAAATGCAATGATGATTGAATTGCATATGGCATATTAAGGATAAGGCACAAGTTGTAGGGATTGATAGAAATGTTGAATTGGTTCCATATTAATTTCCTTAATCATATTGAATAAGTTTTTTACAAAAAATTCTTTACCTGTGCCAGACTCGACATGTAGAGTTGTTGATCCTCTTATCACTATTATAGCGTCTTCTATCTTCAAATAAGTCCTTAATGGCTGTCACGCCCAATACAAACATCACAGGTAACATTGCGATTTCTTTCCCAAATGCACTGATGGATGGAATCCAATTAAGAAGAACGATTGATATAAAATATAGGTTTGCGAAACGATGAAACTGTTCAAAAAGATTTTTTGGAAGAAAGGATATGATTGTATATTTTGTCGTTCTAATTCGATTATTTGGATAATTTCCATTGGGATGAACCCCGTCTGGCAGAGTGTCGGGAACAGTGTGATTCGGTACGACAATTCTGACTCTGGGGTTCTCAACCTCAGTCCGCTTCCAGAATAATATTTTGTTCATCATGGGGATTTTCTGCTGTCTCAAAGTGTAGATGGACTCTGACCTCGATGCTGGTAATTTATTAATTGAAAATTAGACTTGTACGTAAATAATCCTAAAATAGGAAGTGGTTTGGAGGTGGTTATATTATACGATTTACACGAGTCGGTTCTACATACATACATATATTAAAATTTCTACATTCCATAGCGTCCTCTGATTTCTGTTTTAATAAACAAAAATGGGTCTCTAGATTTCTCGGATTGGGAATGTCAATCCCATTGTAAAGTTGTGCCTGTTTTTGTCTCTGCATAACGTAATATTACATATCTCTGAAATGTTCAAATGTGACAATCACTGAAACATTGTCTCACTATCGACACCCCCCACGCATGCACGTAACGTCCACCAGTTTCCCTTGCTTTGTGTCATGAACAATATAATATTATAAATAATGTAACCTTTATTCTGACAATTGGTGGCGTACTTATCAAATGATAAGGCAGGGACAAGTGAATATTTGCTAATTTGATTTTGGACTAAAAGCAGAATATTTGTTTGTGTTTATCCGGTTTCTGCATACTTTTGTGTTTCATTTTTCTACCTTCCTCGTGTAAATAGTATTCAACTGCCAAACTTATCACGACCTTATCACCTAACGTAACCTTACCGTTCCTAGAATGCCCCCTCCAATGCATTTCTTTTGGCATCGTTGTGGAGTTCAGTCTTTCTTTGTGTCCGGGTGGCAAAATGAAGTCTGTCTTGGAAGGAGCTCTGTTGTGTGACTTGAGCCCTTGAGGAGGATCTTCGGCAATTTGACCATGTGAAGCAGCACGGGTATGACCCTTGTTTAAAACGGATGCCTTTGTGACGACGGCATCACCCGTTGCCATGTCAAACCCCCTGCCGGGTTGAATTACACCTCCATGACTAGCACTGCGAATATGGCCTTTCAAAGCAGATTTCGGCCTGATTTTCGGTTGCACTCCTGTCCCCACACCCACAGTTCCACCACAACTGGTTCCAGCACTACTATTTATTACAACTCCTCCCACGCTTTTCGTCGTAGTGGTCGTATTGGGAACTATTGAGACTTGCCCCACACGATGACCACTACACGACGCGTCCTTAATGTTTGAGAGACTGCTCGCCGTTGACGGTGTAGTAGTGGTAGCACTGTAATCCTGGCCACCACCTACACCACTTTGTGTTCTGTGTTTTTCGCCCTCCGTCCCAAAGGTAGAAGTGCCCAGTCCCACGGATGAGGTTTTGAGGAGGGATGCTTTTCTGGGTCGAAGAGGCGGTGAGACGGCTCGACCGACACCGCCAGTGGTTGTTGAGTGTCTCGTTGGCGAAGCCCCACTGCCCACTGTGACTGAGCCGCCAGACCCCGACATTTTCCTCTGAGACGAAGATCCGGGCATTCCGGCCACAGCTGTCACGGGAAGCCTGGTGGACACCTGAAGCTCTGCGTCGATATCGGAGAGAGGTAAATCTTGGGGTGGTGGGAACACATACGTTGTTGTTGTGCACTGTTCGACTGCTGCTGAGTGATCCTTTGTTGTGGACATCCTCAATACTCATCTGCAGTAAAAAGAAAAACGAGAGATAACATAACCATTTACATTTAAATGGGAAACACGCAAAGTTTTCTATCATCACCATCATCATCATCATCGTAATCCTGGCCTTCAGTCAGGCAGGCAGTGAAAGGTTTTGTATTATGAGCTTTACCATTGGCAGCGCAAATTACTAAACCTCAATACATCCGATTAGATTACTCTGTTTACTTACACTCTACCACAAAATACAATCTTGCCTATTCCCTGATGCCTCATCTGCACCCTGCCCATTCTTCATCCACTCCTGACTGTCCTGACTGACTAGCTACGATGCAATGCCAATATTGCTAATATTATCTCCGCCAACTTAAACACTTATTAGCCAAAAACCATCACCATCACATTATTTTTATTACCTTTCAGCTACACCACATGACGATGAGAAATGGTTTTTACTTTTTTTATATGATACCAATCAGTGTATGCATATACATCTCTCAATTTCATCTCCTCGTCAATCATAAAAATATGACATGAAGCAGGGGGTAAACCCTGATTCAAATAATTAAATGATATAAAAATCTACGTGCAAAAATACGCTTTTTAAGTCAGTGAAGTATCAATAACCGACAATATGCAGTAGTTTAACCGCATAAAATCTGTGTGCAACGTGTCAAAATAGAGCAACTTCCATGCAAACTAAATATCTGCATTAATAATGAAATCTATTGTAACTATTGTGTACTCATTCACTCGATATGATTTGCTAGTTTAGAAATATATATTTTTTGCCTTACTGGACTTTGCAATTAATTTGAAACTATAATAATTGCACTTGTAACTTTAGAAGTAAATATTGTTTCCAGATTTATTGAAAATAATTACCCACTTGCACTACGAGTGCCACCCATGTACTTGAGTATAGAATAGTAGTCAGAAGACTAAATTTCAACAAATGTTACAGGATGATCACTTTATTAGCTGTTCAATGCAATTTAAATATTTTTACGTCAATTTACATACGTCAAGTACAGCAAGGACAAACTAAATGCAAATTGACTTAAATGTTTCCTCATTTATTACTAAACAACGTCAACTAACAGCTATCATATCAACAATATCCATTCATCTTCTCCACCCTAAATGGATCATTAATTTACAGGATCAAAGAAAAGGATATAAAATACTTTTAACTGCTTATTTTTATAAGTGATGGATTGATTTCCTCCCGTGTAGCAAATGACAAACGAGACAATGTATTGTAATTGTAATTGTAATTTGTATTGTAATTATTTGATTAGTCAAATAATTCAAGTATCATAAATATTTCCTTCTTATTTATCTACTGCTTCTGTATGAACACATTCAAATGGAATGACTCCCACACACACACACGCGCTACTGTGATGATGATAATGGGCTAACTATTATAAGGTTGTCTTTGACAGCAGCATTTTCATTTTTTATTACACATATTTAATAATATGACATAAACCTTGATTCGGTATTCTATTCAACTAAAGTAAAGCAATCAGAAGCTATTAATGTGATAACAACGAACCAACTTGACAATTTTATGGACGAAAAGGTTCGCAATGAGCTCGCTGCTCTAATCCAAATCTCGAAATGATACGTTGTTAAAAGCATTTTCTGCATGGAACTGCATATTCAATGAAACTTGGTAATAATCTTGTCTTCTCTCTTGGTAAGTGAGTTGTGAGATAGCTTTACTGACTTATTTGTCAGCCACTCTTGTACATACATGTATGCCCACGTCAGTTTTCAAGTGTATGGTTTGCCTAGTGTGTGCAATGTCGAGATGATGTGCAAAATATTATCAACTATGTAGTAACTCACAAGAAACAGCACGTCAGCAATATCCAGCTAGCTAATACATAATTCGTGTACACAACCAACAGTTTGGGCCTTCAAAATTGAACAAGTAAATAAAAGATAATATGTCAGACAAGTCAATGTTTCAACTCTTCTCTGGAATATACCGATTTTATTCATTCGAGGAAATTTTTCATGGTTCGAAGAACATGAATGATACAAACTTGTAAACTAGACACTTACTGACTGGATGGAGATATGTGAATAAGTATGCAAAAACAAGTCCGACCACGTGTGCACACAAAAATTTCTTGGCACTCGACAATAATAATTGATAATTGCAGAAAAATCAATTGATAAAAATGGACGTGTTATGTATATAAAAACTCAAGTCCATTTAATTGAATTATTTGAGCAAATATTTAAATATACTTAAAAAACTACCACCTGCACTCCACTAAATAGGACCTACATGCAAATTGCAACTACTCGTTCTGTTCTGTTCTTGAAGAGTCATAGTATAATTGTTCCCAAAGGTTGGGCTTCGTTAGCTCGGACTATGTCCGTCATCATGGATAAAAAATTGCTGGCAATATCAATTCACTAATTCACACTAATAGCGTCAAAAATTGGACACGTAAGTAGATAAGCAAATAGAGAGAGAGAGCTCACTTGTTAAATTTCATCAGCTATATAAATTCCATTCCATGCAGCGTTATAAACTCAATCCACTTTTTTGTTTATTAACATTTTAAAATTCTTTTGACAGACAAATTCAATTATGAACCAACCCAACGACCAATAATTGTTTCGTCATTTTCCATGAACGTATATTCAACAAATTCATGATAGACTAATGTATGCATGTTAAATACATCATATCACATCACATCACACACCCTCAAAGGAAAACAACTCTCGCTTTTCCAAAAATGTTACTAATACCATCAATACCATCATCAAAGTCAATCACATATGTATTCATGGAACTCTGATAAATAAATAATAAAAACAGAACGATACTGTTTCATGAATGAATCATAATCCTATTTCATGAAACGAGCAGGATAAGTAAATCTGTGTTACATTTTATTCCATGAAATCATTTTTATTCATCGACATCCATACCACTGAACTCTGATGAATGTTTCAACGTTCTGATTTAGAATATGCAAATCTGCCGACGTTGTTGTTTCTCTGCAGAGTATAATTCCATCACAATTTGTCCTTCTGTGCAGCAGTAAGTAAATGTTGTAATTTTTTATTGAGAGAATTATTTTGCTTATTTATATATGTACCTAACACAACTAGCCGTTGAGTATAAACAATCGAGTAGAAAAGATTGTTAAGATGCTGTTGAAAGGGAAAAACCTCAATGTCGACAAATATAATGCTCAGCTCTCAACAATTCTAAACAGCGGCTAAACCTTTAACATAACGTTGAGGTCAAATATATGTATGTACTTTTATAAAAAAGAAAGCATGGCATGAGCACTATTCTTTTCTTTCGAATTGGCATTTTGGCATGAAAAAGAATCCATTCTATGAGCATCCAGCTCGCCATATGTACTGGCACAGTGCAGACAAAACTGGGTTATTCATAAATGTTCATTCGTGAGTCTTGACAGGGAGTTGAGATGTAACATTAATAAATTGTAACTCAATTTGAAATGTTAAAATTGAAGGTCAGCCATTGTTTGCATTGAGCAGAGCAGAGCTATATACACAGAGAGCTAGACACACAGAGTAAGTTTGACAAATGAAGGGAATTGAATTCGCCCCCATTTCACATGGTTATTGCTCTCGATTAGAAGGTGATTTTGAGCCGTCGTCATGCTTTAGTCGTAGCAGAGCTTGGGTTTCACATTTAATATCCTAGATTTTTCCTAGCAACGGCAATGACGTGTGTCGTACTAGAGTTTGTCCTTATTACTTCTAAACGTAAACGTGCGCTGCAAAGTGGTACTGACTGTATCAGGGACAATCATTTACTACTACTAGAAAAAAAATCACGGCAAAGTTGCCCGGAATAAAACAACAAAAGCTGGCTTTATTTTTTTCGGGGATGGACATTCTTATATAAGGACATGCAATGTTTTATATAAATATGTCCATTTCTATCAATAGCAGCAATTTTATTGTATTCAATTATTATGATGATAAAACGTAAATAAACAGCACAAATTTCGAGGAAGCATGTCATGGGCGTATAATGAACACGCGTTAAAATTACAAACTTAGCAATAGGTGTAGTTCTGCATAGTTTTCCATGCTAATAATTTCCACTATATTGATCCAAGTGTTTTGCATGTGTGTATATAAAACTACTTCGTTTTTAGGTTATCTAGTTTCGACCGAGAAATTCCAGGAATCCAGTTTTTACCCTTCACTCATGAAATAAAGAGAAACAGTCGTCTGGAGAAGCATAATAATTATGATTGGAACATAAAATTGGCTGTTCCACCTCGACACGTTTGTTTATTGTACCTCGACAGAGCAGTTCCATAGTTTATTCTTTAACGGTGTCACACAAACGGAGGAACAATTAAAAGTTGTTCTACTGCTCCTCTGTTCCGAGTGTGTCTATTTGTCTATTTATCTCCCATGGAGCGTTATTATTGCAAGGAGAAAATATTCGATTCGATACATGCGACTCATCTTAAAACTGATGTGGGACAGACCGGTAAAAAAATGAGGTGAAAGGCACAAGGCACGGTAAATAGCACTTACACCACCTCGTAAATCACATGCCCGTCGTAAATGCTATTATACCATTTGACAAATGATATAATGGAATTGGATGGATGATGCAATGGAATCGATAAAAAACTGAATTTCAGGAAGGATCGAGGTGGAATATTGACTGATTGAACCCTGCTGGCCCTTTGACATTAAACGTCAATGAATTCTTAAAGACATTTCCACGAAAATGGAGAAAGGGACAGGTAGAAATTAAATAAACGTTAATTAAACTTGTACTTGTCCATCACATCACAGCATGCTATAAAGTTTGTAGGATCTGAAATATCAAATAAGGTCCTTTATTACGTAGCTTGGTTATACATACATAATTTCGTTCATCAGGATATATATCATCACGATATATATTCAACCTCAAAGTAAGTCAAGTCTACGCGAATTGTATCAACTTTTCTGCAAATTAATGATGAGACGGTGAATATGAATGAGTAAAGAACACTCAATTTTGGGATGCACGGGTAAAACTGCTCATGCGAGAAGGAGAGTAGTTGAAAAAGGGAAACGAATAATTGTATCAACCATCCAACTAGGAACTAATTAATATCCCAAAATGGTGGTTATTATTACATTTGCTGTGAATAATTCAAAGGTCGGAAGCATAGCTACAAAATGGTAAAAGCCAATTTCCCGATGAATTGTCGTCATCATAATCTCTCTGAAAGCACTCAACACTCATGCTCCTCTATATATGACGAAATAAGGTAAACCATTCCATATTCTATTAGTCTTTTTCATCAATACAAAAGAATAACAAATCATAATACCTTCTTCGATTGTGGATTCCTCAGTACGACTAGTGTTAAGAAGTATGCTGGCCGGAAACGTGATTTCACAAAGCAAGTAAACTCATTATAAACGTATTTAGCTACTCGTGTTGGATTATAGCATTGCCAGAGCAAATCAATTTAAAAAGCACAATTATGGAGAGAATAATACAATGTCAAGAAATGTCATGTTTTTCATAATTATCGCAATATCCAAGGAGGACGTTTATTTTATATTATGTGTCTTCTGAAAGCAAGGTGAGACGAGAGGTTTTGGCTGTTGAATATGGTTTAACAACGTCACTTGAGAAACTCAAGGATTTTCAGTCGTCCGTCGTCCGTACAGAACAACACCTCACTTCCACATAACACTCAACCAACCACAGGGACCAAATATTTGAAGAGTTTTTCCGAGTTAATGACACACTCACTTTTCAAGGTGAGTCTGAAACTGTAAATGGTTTTATGGTGTCAAATACTACTTATGTGTTAACTAACCAACAATCATTAAAGCATGTAGGCAGCTCTTTAGAGAATCGAGATACATTTATGAGGATAATCATATTTCTAAAAAAGCTGTACAATTCAATCTGTAATCACTTTTACCTTTTATTACATAATGGATCATCCAAATGACAAAATAAACTCCAGTCGGTTGTCATGTCACATGTTTCCCTCGTTAGTACTGCACTCTCACTTAACAAGGAAGTCAGTCAGTTATCAACCAGGTTAATCACTTAACATCACACCGTCGTCCAGTCCATCAAGACATTTCCAATTATCTTCCATCTGTTAACCCAGTCTCCAGCCAATTTTGCAATTGTCCGATGACCGCCGATGGACATGCACGCTCACTCAAGTTACCTCAGCTAATATAATATTTCATGCCAAATTTAAGCTCACATTAACCAGTCTATTTTTCTTATTGATGGATGAACCCACTTTCTAGTAACCTTATTGACTTGGCGATAATTGACATGAACTCGACGAAGAGAACTTTACTTATTTTTCTTAAATGTAGAGAAACGGTTTACTTGGATGGACGGACGGAAGTGCAGACAATAGAAATGACTAGTTAAATGGTAATCGAGTTGCTATTGGCACAGAGAGACCTATGATATTACACGACGTCGTAACACATAATAACCATGCCACGGTTGACTCTTGACTGACTGCCGAAGAAGAAAAGAAGGCCTGATAATCAGCCACACTTCACTTCTCCCAAACTAACTGACACCATCCCCAAAGCCAAACCTACTCAAGCAAAATAAAGAAACAAACCTCCTACTACCTAGATATCGTAGATGTTCTCTAACCGTTCATATTCGCCAGTCGCCAACATTCACTTTTTGCAATGGAGCAACAGTTCCTTGTTGCGGTTGTTACATTGAATTCAAGTCATTCTGCTGTTTGTATTGCGATTTTGATTTAGTTGAGACAAATAAGGCTACAGATTTGACTCTTTCGTGCCGTTCTCTATTCTATTCAGTCATGAGGTGAATTCAGGGAATGCAGTGCATACATAATGCATGCGACCAATGTGATATATTTCCATTATTACATACAATGGCGAAAACACTGTCGCTAATTCCACGCCCACGTAAATACCAAAGGCAATCCCATTGTCACTATTATATAATAAGGTTGCTGAAATGGTGCTAAGTCAATGCTAATCAAATGATGTAATCGTCATTAAATATCACATCAATCACTTCACCCTTCAACGTATCAATACACCGTGCAATTTTCTGGAACGGATACAGAGCAGACTTGTTCTTGGCATCGAATGCATAATTATTATTGCGAAATGGAAGCAGCAGCACTTTTTATACAAAAAGTACATTGCCTCGAGAAATTAAGTTTTGGCTTAGGATGGTGAAAAAAAGAGGGTTCAACAGCAAAGAAAAAAAGAGTCGGATAATTATAAGTTTGGCACACCTTTTATATTCCAGCAGTCATTTTAACGCCGAAATATGCCTATTAAGACGGTAGCAGTTGAACAGAAGGATCAGTTGCGCAATTTGTTCATAATGATCAAGTCTAATTTACTTCTTTGTCTTGATAAGTCAGTTTTACATCTCACGAAACAAAATCGGAGCACCTGGTTGACGAAATTGCATAAAGTATGTAGCATCATCTCCGTCGTTGGAGTGGTACAGTACAAGCCATTAAAACCAATATGCTGACGACCATAAAAGCCGGTTTGATTACCAGTTCGTTCATTGCTAAATAACGTTGTTGGCTTGGGTCCTCAGCTCAACAGCGTTAATATTTTAACACCGTTATTCGCAAGAAGTTACATATTTAGGTTACTCGCTTAATGCCTGATACCCAGCAACATTAAAACCAATCTGTCTAAACCTGGTATTTCTACTTCTCATAAAGGCATCCAAATTTAGCAAATCCGCTTGTCTTTCGTGATTCTAGAATATCTGTACATTTTATATTCCAAACACACCATCCAAACCAGCACCCCACTATGAAATGAAATCCACGTAAACCCATTAATTCACCGCATACAAATATGTATCTACATATGTATGATGCACACAAAAGAAAATGTCTTGTCTGCGGTCACCTTACAAACAATTTTTGTTTTTTCATTCCTTCTCCCATATTCCAAGACATTCAAAACAATATAATTCAAAATCTGCTCAACAGAGTTATGAACATTAACTATTATTGCCTAATAAATAGTCAATCTTGGTTTACCACGATGCGATGATGTAGTTGATGCAATATTTTTCTTAAATTTAGTTAAATGTACAAAATGTAAGCTCACCTTAATAAGTTTGACATCCAACATTAATGTGGTGGTGCAAGTCGCTACACTACTTATGCCCCTCGATGACTCATCCTAGTGAAATGACCGACAAGGGCTGTTGCAATTTCCTGATCTTGGAAATTTATTTCGGAGTTTTATACTTGGAATTAATCTCGTTTTAACATCATTTTGAACTTTTGGAAGACGGCTTTCAGAATTAGTTGAAGTTTTTTTGATAAGCTTAATAATCTCCTTTGTATACCTTGTCAAGAAAAATGAACACTGCTTTGTAATCTCAAACAGTCATTTGATAATCTCCACAGTATGCATAACGTTACAACAAATATGTATAAATGTCCCCGTTTGAAATGATAGTCAATCATATGTTTCTCACAAAATTTAAAAAAGCTTTTGTCTTTCACTTAATCAGTCTTTTAGAAATCAAGATAAACACTAAGAGTTTCGTTCGAAATCAAGTTTTAAAAGAAGAACCTACGCACAACACGAGAACAAAACAGATAGACTATTATTAGCTACGATAGCCCATCCGCTAGTTAATTTAGATTAATTTAACTCCCTGTTCAGCCGACAACACTACACTTAAAATACTGAAATCTCACCGTGGTAGAGAGCAGATGAGCTTTATCTTGATAAGATAACGTTCTGTTCTTCGACGTGTGGCACTGTTCACAAAAAAGTGAAGTGCTTTCTCCTGCCCGATCTTTTGAATTGTGAGCGAAGAGGGAAAATCACGAGATCAACTTTACGTGTTCCTCCTCTGCTTCCTCTGTGCTGTAGAAGAACTCTGACTGAAGCTACTTATTGTGATCAATTTGTCCGTCCGTATGTAACTATCCAACGTGTCAACCTTTCTTGAGCTGTGTTTTCGAATATCGACATCTAATTTTTAAGTAAGAATGAGTTCGTCAGCTGACCTCCTAGGTCAAAATGTCACGCGCCTGTGGGTACAGTGCCGTGAATGACAAAAAGATGAAAGATCATGTAGGGAGAATTTTGCATACGGAATTCGTTATTTTGATATGCTACTACTTTTTGACCGTAATAGAAGGTCAAAAATATCAAAATTTTAATTTTGGTAGTTTTAGAAGATTTACAGATATTATTCACTCACATTCGCTACTTCATTGCACCTGTGGCTGCGTGTATTAACAACACAGCACAAATCCTGTTACACAAGAATCTGACATACTTACATCTCCTTCTTTTTACATGTACCTATATGTTTCAATAATTGTCCAACAAACATAAAATATTGTTGGTTGGTTGGTGTACCTTTTAACCTTGTTTTAAATGCACATGTCGTAACAACTGGTAAGAATCTAAATACCAACACCTTTCATGAGGATGAAAATGAAAACAGCACATACACCGAATTAGTAAGGTTGCTAATTGTGCGGATTGTTATTTACTGAAACAATATGCAATTTTTAATATCTAACAACACACTAATTTACTAGTATACAAATTGGAGTATAGATAAAATATTTTTGTTTTGCTGTGAAGTAAAGGTAGAAAATTATAAAACTATGAAAAATACTTTTTTTTACTGAATAATAACTTATGAATAAATACATACATCGAAATGTCATGGGTGGGCCAGGGGGTCTGGAGACCCCTAAAATCGTATTATATCTAGTGCTTGTTCATAAGCCCCATGTTATAATTTCGATATTCAAGGGGTCCGTCGACCCCCTTGACCCCCCTCATTTCGTTGTATGAATAAATAACAAATGTAATAATGAGATTCGATCGAACACAGGTACAAAAATCTTGTCAAAATTGGTAACAATTCTACAAAAAAAACGTGCTACTATTTTGCACCCTTACATAATACTATTAAAATGAGTTTTTAAACGGTTTTGAGGACTCGATTTCTAAAAACTATACAGTTTTATTTATACTCGACCTATTAGTTTGCACCATTACATGATATTATATACAAAATAGTTTCTATTATACAAAGCTGAAAAATACCATGCAGTATATTCCAAAACCCGTATAAATTTTTTCATCACAGTATGACTAATATATAAAGCGTATAATTTCTCCTGTAGTAGATGGCAAATAACGTTACCGAATCTAAGACTGTCTTGCAGATTTGCAAAAGATCACATGCAGCTTATCATCCCGACCACCAAAGATAAGCATGTCCTTATAACACACAGACTTTGAGAAATTTTTCTCGTCACTGCGGACCGGGTACAGTACCTCCTCTTGGGCTTCATAACTAGTAGTATTTAATCCATACAGCATAAATGTGTTGGAGTCACTGGGCCGAGAAAGTAAGTAGCACTTTTGTGCAGGATTAGCTGTCGCCCCACTTTCCGATTTGGTGGAGACTTTGTTTTCGTCTGTAGGGTCGACATTATCATTGCTGGTGCATAGTACGGTAGGGCCGATCAACGGATTTTTGAGCTTCTGCCGTCGCACGACGATGTTCCCGTCCATAAATGAAACTCGCATCACCTGACCCTTAGTATCTGTCAGAATCACTTCCGAAAAATTCGAGACCTGGCAGTTGTGTACAACAGGTTCGAACCAAGTGTACGTTGCATTACAATCTTGCACTTGTTTTAACTACCGCAAAAAATAATAATTCAACATTTGCTTTCTCATTTAACAAAGTGATATACATATTTAAGTGTTTGTTCATACTAGTTCTCCATTGTGACATCCTCTAACTTCAAGACCATCAGGCAATCCATAGACTGCTAATGTTCCACGGGCCGTCTTCCAGATCGCAGGAGACGTAGTCGCTCCGTTCTCTTTTTCTCGCAAAGAGGGCCATTTTTGATGCCCCCCCAATGAGATGGAATGTGCAGTCACCCCGCCTATAGCTGTAGTAACTAGGACAGTATTCTCCTCAATTACGGGAGGAAATGATGAAGATCTAGCCCCAATCCGCTTAGTCCATATAGTCCTCAAGTTCTACAATAAAGGATTGAAATATTTTGTTATTACCCTAATCAATCTAACCACAAAAACTTTCAAAAAATATTTAGCTACAATAAAACTCACCATAGTGTCGAGGCAGGATATGATATTATCGCAATCCATCACGACAAGTTTGGAGCAGTCAGCATTCAAAGCAACTTTGGATCTAATCGAACCAGTACATATATAAGATGCCTCAACCTTTCCATCAACGATGGCAATTTTTAAGACATTCCCATTACAACATCCTTGAAAAAATTGAACAGATTTTTAAAAATTAGTCCGTATATAATAATTAGTGAATCTATTTCATATGGGACACAAGTATTACACTAGTACATACCTAGATAAGCATAAGAACCTTCATTAGAAATGATGGCTTCTGTCTCCACTCGACCGGGGATGTAGCAAGTCCAGGCAACTGCCAAAGTCGATGGACATCGTTCACCGAGTCGAACTAACCTCCTCAATTCCTGAGTATCCACAGCAATAATAGACCCAGAATGCGAGCCCACAAATGCAACATCTTCGGCAATGCCTGTGAAATAACAAAAAATATATATTATTTTGTCATTGAACTTAAAAGGAACAAGTATATATAACTCAGAAGAAAATCAAAGCGTCACCTGAAGTAGACATCACGGCTGTTGCATCAATGCAAACATTCATGTTATATTCGAAAACTCTGACGACTTTGACAGGGTGGGTAATGACGAAATTGCTAGGAGCGGAAGGGTCATTTAAACGTGCTTGTTCGATCGCGTCAAACACGCTATCATAGTCAACTTCGTCGGGTCCAGGTCCCCAGGGAAAATCCCAATAATCTTGGGCAATATCAATTGCTGTTGTATTCATCGTGTGGCTAGTGACCATTTCGGCAGAAACAATTGCAACTTGGGCTGTTTTAGGCTGTTTTTCGACCTCCTTTGTCAAGTAGTGGCATATACCAGCGAACGTGGTGACGGACAACTTTTTGAAAATAGTGTCCTGTAAAGTTCCGAATAAAGGCGAGCCATATAGGCCCAGACAGTTAAAGAAAGCTTCCAGTAACCACATTCCGAGAACTGATGTCCCACCAGCTTGATAAAAATTTTCTTTTGCAATATTTGCTAAATGTACGTTTGCAGGCCTTTCTGTTGCTATTAGCCAGAGGGGATGAAGAACATGGGTGACAGTATCCTCATCGATGTTATACACTCCTGGCCATCTGTAATTCTGAATACTAGCAACTTCCACTATTTCTCTCACGTCCAACTTCCCATTCGTGGTTAGGGGAATTGTATGAACTGCAACCACACAGTTAGGATAAAACTCTGGATGGATATCTAGTTTCAAACTTGGAAAGAACGAGGCTCTAATTTCTGCTCCAAGGCCAAGAATCGACGACTCCTGCTTCTTCGGGATGACAATAAGATAAATTTTCCCATTGTGCTCGACACCCTGGGCAAAGTTGAGGTGTCCAGTGGCCATAGCCATGTCCTCAATCAGACAGAGTGGAATCTTCATTCCCGAGCGTTTGACGATGGTGTCTAGCCGGCCGACAACTTCAACACCCAAATGAAATGAGTCATGCAGAATTGCCAAGTCCTCTGTGGAGATTTCCAAATTGCCCATCTTGATAACGGCATTAGAGGAAGCAATTTTTGGATCTTCCTGAATAATATACCCGTCCTGATCGATCACAGTACATATTCGGGTCGACGACTCTGTAACAAGGAACATATTCAGAAGTGAATAAAAATTTATATGATACGAATGTAGTTGCATTTGTACATTGAAATGTAGGTAATGCAAATAAACGTACTTATAACAACTTGGGAATAGCCCGGCACTTCCCGAGCAGTAGGACCTGTGAACATGTCGGTCCTAATCTCCGTCTCCAGCATGCCTTCTCCAGAGCAGACAGGTTCGTTGTTGTATGGGTTGATCACACCGAAAGAGGCCCAGCAAGACATTTCAGTTAAACCATAAAGATTTACCAATGTTCTTAATGAATTGAACATTTCCAGAGAAAGTAATCCACGCAATTCGGATTTGGACAAGCACTTTTCACCACCAAGTGCTAATACAGCCAGTGTCGAGATCTGATGCTCGAAGAAATGAACTTCATTAAGTCCGGCTGAAATTTTACGCAGAGTTGATGGCGTAGTTTGGATTACAGAAACTTTGTGTTTCATAAATACTCGTCCTAGTAAATTTCCATCATGCCTAATATCGTCTGCCGTGTACACAATAGTGCCTATTAAAGAAAAACCATCGTAAAGCGCTAGTACAAAAGTATAAACAAAATAACAGTATCTAAAGTTTATTAAAAATAGCCTTACCTCCTGAACCCAGTGCGCAAAATAAATCGCACACACTTGGGTCAAATGTGCTTGGCGACGATCCCCAGAGAACGTCGTTCGAATTGAGTTTCCACACGCGCGATATTAGGTCATGTATATTGGGTGTAATGCATTTGTGGGGTACGAGAACGAATTTCTTGTCACCAGTACTGCCCGACGTTTCAACTGCATATGCAAATCTAAATGGCTGCAGAAACCTGTCATCATAAAAGACTCCATCTCTTGGGAAGAGTTCCACAAGGTACAACAATTTAAAAGACGCCTCTTCTCGAGGGGGTAACTTCTCATTCCCAAATCTTATGAGGGTGGTTCTCACTGCGTTTACTTGAAACCACTGGTGAAACTGACTGAATAATGCTCCTCCGACGAGTACAAACTTCATTCCGAGCAATGACCGTCCCCTTTCTGCTCGAGTCGTCCAGTCTTGGTCGGATCCAAGATTTAGAACAGCACAACCAGTTCTTAAAATCCTATTCAAAAAGAAGCCACACAATTATTTTATATCGTTACCATACTTTCCTGTATAAATGAGAGTACTTCCAGTTAAATAAGTAAGCTTAAACATACCCTAGTTGTATGCTTGGGAAGAATTGGTTCTTGTGATGAAGAACGCCAATAAATCCTCTCAGGTCGGTGGCAGCAAAAAGACTGGATTTAACTCTTGAAGCTAATTTATCTACTTCAGCATATGTAAATGATCTGCTTGGTCCTCCAAAATCGTAAATGACGCAAATTTTATTGGCATCCAATTCGTGTTCAAAATAAAGATGCAACAACTTCTTGAATTGGGGCTTCGTTTTCTCAATTCGGGAGAGCAATTGTTTATAGATACTTTCGGTCTCTCTCTGCACAGCATCCAAGTCAACTCTGCTTGAGGCCATCTAAAAGTACATCAAAGGTGAATTAGTACTTGGCAATTCATTCTTTTAGCCTTATTTTTTATTAATATATATAAGACTAGTGTAGAAGCCCGTCAATCGACGTGCAAAATAAGCCCGTCGATAAGCCCGTTGCCCCAACATTAGTGAAGTTAGCCTCTCCTGTTCTCTCTGCAGAGTGGAGAGAGAAAAGGGGAGGCTAACTTCTCAACTAAGCCACCGACCCAGCCAGCCAGCAGCGATACACTCGCCTGCTTTATATAGTTTAGATAACGATATCCATCTCGTATCTTATCACATGCCAACATATTTAAATCAAAATTGTATTATAAAATCTTTACTAAATTCCCAACTCGTCAATGTGCAGTGATGTTATATTACTGATATATGATACGCAAGTTACTTCACACTTACCTCTCTACTTTTCCTGAATCTTATAGTCTATTCTACTATTAAGTTGAAAAGTTGCAAACTATTACTCGTCGTAAAGTTTAAAGTAGATAATTTTCAAAACTTTGAATTAGTTTTAGAGTCAAAAAAGTTAAAAAGTTAAAAATTTGAAGATCCAAAAAAGTTTCCGAGATTCTAGAAATGCGACTCACACCACGCACGAAGTGAAGTGGAATGAAGTGAGCGAGGAGAGGAGACGCGTGGCCACGAGGAGCACGAGGAGGAGGAATTCTGGCGGTGGCAGTGCCACCCTTTTCTCAAAGAATCCCTCGTGCTGTCCACCGGGAGATAAAAATTTGAGACTTAATCATTTTTTTTTGGTTTGGTTAAATTTTTGAAAAAAAATAGAAATTCTCCGTGTAATATTGGAACAGCTATTTTCGAAATAATAAAAATATGTCCGCCGGTGTTCGGAGTTTGTTGCCATATAATCGTCTACGAAGGTTGAAGAATACTCATAATGTCTGGATTGTCTCCGTCTTGCCGGTCCCTTATCAAAAGTTTTATCGCGAATGGATGGGGAGTGAGGATAAGGAGACCCCCGTCCATTGGAAACCTGTGGATTCGGAATGGGTACGAAATCCGGAAACGGGGGAAGTGTAAGTTATCTAAATACATAAGAACTGAGAGTATTTCACTAGTTATTTCATAATTCCAGGATTAAAGAGTTTGTTTATGTGCAGGAAACGATTTCAAAATGTACCCATCCCTGTCCTTTATCCGGACCAGATGCACGAAGGGCTGTGGGGTGGAGAGGGGGTAATTGAAGGACTGGTTAAAAAGGGAAAGTACAGATGTCCCGTCCCCAGATTTTGGGTTCCAAATTTCTATAAAACTGTAGTCTACAGTGAAATTCTTGACAAGTATTTGTCTATCGTTGTTACTGAAAGGGCTTTAGAACTTATCGACCAACACAGTGGTCTGGATAGTTATTTGCTAAATGTGAGTTATAAATCATTTGGATTGCATAATGTGATAAATAAATCTAAAATTTATATTTAATTTGATTCATAGACCCCGGCTTATGACCTCAAAAGTTTGCTGGCGTTAAAGTTGAAAAGGAAACTGCTATTTTCAATCTTGGATAAAGATTTCCTAGTTAATAATTTGGAAAAACAGACAAATCTGGTTGAAAAATATAAGGACTGCCTCATCCCAGTGAGTCATTTTTCTATTTCATTATAAAATCCCTTGTTATATGTCATGGTAAAAATGTTAATAATTCTAGAGAGACGATGTCGAATGGTATGGATATTCTGTGCAGGAAGCTCAGTTAAAATATAGAATGCTGTTAAAAGAGCAAAGTCAACCAGTGGCTTTAAAACATGAAATCAGAAGAAAATATTATCAGTCATTGATTAACAAAGACTTTGATGAACCCCCTACAGAGTAATTTGTTTATTTTTTATATTCAAATAGAATTACCGAGTTGAAGTTCAATATTTTTCATTTTTTTTTACATAGATCCGTATCATGGGTGAAGAAGATGAACCCTTTTACAAAGCCGGCTCAAGCCCCATAAAGTAAATATTTATATATTTCTAGCAGAATGACATGAATTGAGTCACTAGTATATAGATCTTTAATTGAGCGTATAATTCACTATGATTTAAGGAAATTAATTAATGGTCGAACGTTTTATAATATGCATAAAAGAAAAGAGTTTAATTCAATAACACGGCAACGTGGAATTTATTATTATTACGTTTTCTTATAATGCGCATATCTCTGACTATATCAAAAGGTTTATATGGAAGGTAATTTTAAGTGATACTGCAATCTATTTGTCCATCCTTTGGTAAGCAGTTTAGAGTCTGGGCAACAGACCTCACCAGATAGGTCATGGTCCCATAACAGCCGGAAGGAGCACTGTCGTAAAAATGTTGACAAACGTTGGCAGCGCCCCCACAGACCAAGGCACTATTTGGACCATGTGGGGCTTCAATATGGCATAAATCTTTGGCACAACACAGAGTAGCATCTCCGTTGATCTTGATCTGTTAAGAAGTTTCAAGAAAATTAGCAGCTGCAAGACATAGAATCATAACGTTAAAGAGTAAACTATGCTACCTGATCTTGAAGAAATATCTTGTTGGCTGTATGAACGATATGTTCAACAAATATCGTCTCTCCCAAGTACGTCACCAAGTTATGTTCTACAACGAGGGTCAGAACCATCAAAGCCTCTACAACTAGTTGGCGATATTCCGGTTGTGGAATAGTATTTAAAACCGTTTCAACTCTTAAGGCAAACTTGAGTTCTCCAGAAGTCATCTACAAATTAATAAATCAGGAATCAATTGTACATTTCTTGGCATGAATTAGCGACCTAGGACCTTCCATTGTATTTAACTATTACCTCTTGCGTTAGATTATTGAGTAATGTCATGCCCTTGATGTTGAGCCCTTGACACTGCGTAAAAATGCATATTTGATATTCCATGATTTGAGTGAATTTCTATTTCGATTTTACGGTATTAGACTTTTACCCTTTCTAAAACTGCCCAAACTCTAGGATAAAATCCACGAGGGACGCGGTTTAAGGCTCCATCTAATCTTCGTCGCCTAAGCCATTGACCTTGCTGTTTTTCAGCATCGGATTGTTCAGCGTCTCGATAAAATAGGCTGTCGATATTCCCCTTTTTTGAATATACAAATCATTTCATTTTACTTTTGTTTGCATTACATTTATCAAAATAAATAACTAGTATTTACATACAATTACTAAACTTACTTTACTGACTTTGGTAGACTTGGTACTAATCACAGAATGATGGCTAAGAGTGTGTCCACTTTTCGCAGCTACGTCCGCAATTCCGTACTCATTAATTTATGTATATCAATCTCAAGAATTCAGACAAAAGGTTCGAAACTTACATATGCTGACGGCAAACTCTTTTCCACTCATGATGTGATAGAGAAGATTCTTCATTTCAAAGGGGGACAGGTTGAGGAGACAATCTGTGGCTTCATCCCCAGGGCATTTCAGCATCCTTGCTAACTCTGAGGCCATTACCTATATGAACAATCATCAGATAAAATGTTGTAACAACCAGGGATGACTTTAATATTCGTGTTTCTATACTTGAATTATGAGTCCAATCCTCAATCTCAACATTTCTTGAAACAATTGGGGCTCTGTTCTGATGAACATGGCCAAGTAAACGACCAGCTCTTGAGTCAGCATAGCAGTACTTTCGTCATCCCCGTACACCTGGTGAATTATTTGACGCAGCTCCACTTCTGGGAGGGGACCCGTGATGGTCTTTTCTAAGTGTGGTGGCATTCCGACAGTGACCTGTTTCTGCCTCACTAGCAAATCTGTCACTGCTTTTGCCAAGTCTTCCACCCGTTTCCCGAGGATTCCTGTGATGCACAAGGTTCAAGCAATTAGTTCATGATTAACATAATTAATGAATTAATTAATTGCGCCAACTGACCTGCTGAGTGTCGAACAAGCCCCCAAAGTTTCTGTTGACATGCTTTATCGTACAAGCCCTTAAGCAAGTCTTTAACCGTCACTTCCACATTGTTTTCGTCCCTTCCTGTTAATTATTCATTAATGTGAAATTCAAGCATATGTTCACTATGAATTAATAACTTATTGCACCTGTCACGAAATCCAAGCCATGAGAAAAGACCAAATAGTGAATAATATCGCCTTGTTCCTCCAGACTTTCCGTTTCTCGAAGCATGGACAATAATTCTTCCATTTCAGTGTTTTCAAATTGAGAATCAGATTGAGTCCTTCAGAAAATTAAATTATAATTGTGATTTATTTCAAGATCCATAAATGAATATTGAAATGATCATGAACTTCTACCTGTGTCTGGTGCCTAGCACCGACCAAGTGGGTCTAGGAGCTTTCTCCTCTGTGACATCATCTGGGGGGGAATGATCTCTTGAAGTGCTCGGAGTTACAATGATTGGTTGTCCCACAAAAATCGGTGGTGTGATACGACGCTGCTCCTTCCAGGTTGATGATTGGTCCTCATCGAAAGTATCTTTATGAATTAGTAGAAATAACCATTTACTCCAAAAGTTTGTTTGAAGGTAATTTGATCTGGGTTCAACTTAATTAATCGCACCTCTATAGATTGACCTCGTTCGCTTGATGGTCCCTTTTAGAGAGAGTCTTCGTCCCTGAGTATCCTTCTTCCTTTGCCTGGTTTTCTGTGTGGAAGCAGCCGCCCCTTGAATTTTTAGCCTCGGAGCTGATGATAGTTTTGGCTTGAGTGTGAATGCCCTCTGAAGCTGTTCCTCCAAGTATTCCTGAATGCTAGGATGTAGCTCTGGAAAAGTAAAACATTTTAGGAATTAGTGCCCCCTTTGCAACATGTTGTCCAACTTATGTACTTTCAGGTATTCCTTCTTCAATACTTCCTAGAAAACTGAGATTCGTAATGCATGAAGTGCTCAAGAAATCTTGAAGGTAGCCTAAGGTAACCCTGCAAATCCAATCAAATGATCACAATCGGTCAGAAGTCTCATTAATTTTCATTATGTAGTTTTGCATAGGAATAGCTTAGAGTATAAAATATTTGTGCATGCATACCGAGTGCCTACTGTGTAACCACTCCTTAGTTTTTTGATGGTTGTAACAATTGACATTGGAACTTTCCCGTCCTCTGCAAAATTTGAAAAATTTAAGTCATGGTAAAAATTTTAAGCTCGGCTTGTTTTGCACTAATTTATTAGTCGTGCTAATTTTAAACCCTTAATGTATTAGTGAGTGATACATGTAGTGATTCAATTTGCAAATATTAATTACAGATTACAAGCAAAAGTCCCTTTGCGAATATCTCAAACATTATGTTTCAATTTGATTTTGACGTTAGGAACAATGCATGTCATCATTTTGAGATGTTCTTTTTTGTTCTACTTCATTGCTATTTTGAGTTTTAAGCAAAGTTATGGTTTCAGTTGATAAGTTGGATTTCTAGTTTGGTTCCTACTCCACCAAGAGTTGATAAGTCTGCAGAATTACCTCCCAGGAGAGAAGAGTTAAACATGAGAATGACCGTTGGCCGTCCAATTTGCCCAGTCCAATTGTTAGCAAGAAAAGCCAAGTCATTTTTGAAATTGTGAGCCAATACTTCGGAATCAAACATCATGTAATTCGCTTCGAAGTCAAATCTCTGCACTCGAAAAACAAGCAATTTGGTTGATTGATTGACAGTTTCATGTAAAATTATTAACTCATTTTCTCGTGTACATATTTACGGAAAAGCTATTAGAACAAGCCATTCAAATTAATTAGCAAAATAATAACAATTCAATTCAAACTAAGACTAATAAAAAAGCAACTCATTCCAAAAAATAAATGAGAGTCGAACCTAGATGAACATGTCTGAAAGTAAAAACAACCAAAGGACGGCCTAACACGTTCTGCCAGGCAGATTTCAAAAAATTCAGCTCGTTTTTAAAGTTGTCAATCATAAGTTCATAATCGGACGCAATGTAAAATCGCTGTTGATCCATCAACTAAATATAAATTAAAGAATTTTAGATTTACGTAAACTACAAATGAAATGTACATATATTGTGAAAAAGCAAACTTAATGAGACAAATAACAGAAGTTTAGCGAGACAGACAATGAGTAGTTCAAAATGCATCAATTACAGATATATGGCACACTTTAAAATGTAATGTTCATACCTGAGGAGTGAAAGCAAATATTTTGTCTTGCAGGGAGTACAACTTGCTCGTACATAAAATTCCAACATCGCGAGACTGTCTGCCAGATAGTTCCAGTTTTTTGTTCCTGCCTAAAAAAATGACAAAATTATTAGAAATCGCATTTACATATATTTAAAATTGGAAAAAGTACGTAGTTTTAAGTTTTTACCTAAATAAGCATAAAGGTGACTTAAAACGCGTGCAGGCTGTACTTCTATTGGGGTCACTTCCGCAATCGTCTGAACATTTATGTCAAATTGCTTCAATTTAGTTTGAATAGCCTCATCTTCGGCTAAAATGACGACCTTTAAACAGATTTAAATGTTTGATTAGCTAGAATTAATCGTTTATCTTTTCCAATGAAAATACTAACCTGTACAACTACATCTGGCTTTTTCTCTGAGCCTAGACGTCGATTAAGAGGATCTAATTCTCCAGGGGCAAGAAAGCCCTTTTTGTAACAAAACAATTAATTCGATGATAAAATATTATGTAACAAATTGTAGAAGAATATATATCAACATTTCAACTCATATACCCACTTCTTGTAGAAGTCTTCCAATTATGAATAGACTTTGTGCCCACATAAAGGGAATCCGTCCAACTGGTTCTCTAATTTGGCTGCCAGGATTTTTATATTCCTCACTAACTGTAGCAGCAGGAACTGTATATAATTCGGGAACTAGGCGAAGTCCATCTTCAGTTTTTATTAGTACCTGTGAGACACAAAAGATTTAATTTGAAGATTGTGATTCGAAATATTTTAGAAATTTGGATTACAGTAGATCAATTACCTCGTCTAACGCGTCACTAATTGCAATAACTCCCTCCGTATCATTCCTAAAACAGGCGTCAATGATCATGTAACAGAAAAACAGTGGCCACTCACACTCAATATTTTCAAACATTCGTAGCTCCCATGGCTCATAGTATAATCTTGTTGGGTCCTACCATAAAAGATTATTTATTTTGTTTTCATTATCCATTAACCAAATTGCTGTGATCACAGTTTTTACCTCTTTCGGTGTTTTATAGCCATCTCGAAGAAATCTTTTGTATCCATAATGACCCTGAAGTTTGGAAAGTATCGTCTTCCTCGTCAATTTGATTAAATCTGGATCGTCAACTGCAAATGCTGGGAAACCGATGATGGATAAAAGCCCTCCATCAACCTCTTTCGAATTTGATTCTCGGGGGAGCATGGACTGGAGAACAGCTTGACACTTTTGGGCCTCGTCGGCGAGAACATGAATCACAGACGCTGGTCCACCCCTCGCCCCAAACAAATCCAATTCATTCATCGCCTCCAAAGCTGCTTTCGCCATTCCAATCGAACTCGCGTTCAATTCCGGAAGTCCATGATTACTTTTGTCCCCTCGTTCCCAAATTCCATAATCCTGCCATAAAATTAATCATAATTAATTGCCTAATTAAAAACTGCACTATTCTAATTACTTTCCCCTACATACCGGAACACAGTATGCAGATTCAATATAAAAGACGAGATTCTGAATGAACGCGACTTCGTCCAAGGTGAAGACCACTTGCAATCCAGAAGCTGTCATTTGCGCCAGAGTGAGGAGATAAAGTGATACGGCATCAATTTGCAAGTGTCCCCACTCCCCATCTCCCACGACGGCCTGGCCAGTTTCCGAACTATATTTTGCATGAACTGCATCCAGTGGAGATTGCGATGTCTTGAACTTTTCTAGTTTGTCTTTTTGACGCATCATTGACATGAGAAGTCCACGCATCAATTTAACACAGCTCTGAAATTGTATTAATCAGCATATATATTATATGCATACATATATGTACGTGTTATAAAAAGACTTCAGACACATTCCTCGCAGAAGACGCATTAGACTTACTTGTTCTAATTCATATGTCTTGGCACGATCTTCGTCCATATCTGCATTCTTTTTGTAGGCCATTGATAATGCCCAGACGGACATGATACTATAAACATTATCTCTGATCCATGCATGCTTATTTGTCGGACTTGCAGGTAATAGACCTGTTACGGGGTCCTAAAATTCGGTCACACATTAGAATGACAAACAGTTGAATAAATCCAATTTCATGGAATTTCGCATTTTACCTGGTAACAGAGTATTGTGCGGTACAAGAGTCGATGGTAATAGTCGAGTCGGACTCCGGAATTGGTTCTGCTACGCATTCTGACTTCTGTAAATTTAGTTCCTACCGTTTTTTCCGTTAGATCAGAGGGTGAAAGCATTTTAAATATGATGTGTTTGTGCACTAAATAACTTCCAGGATTAACTATTGATTATAAAATTGCTCAACAACATTGATCAATATCTGGCGAACGAGTAACTAACTAGACCAAGTTGTGGAAGGCACTACTAATAAATAATTGCATGTTTAAGTCTACAATCAAAGACTTCTTTTGGACATGTATAAACCTACTTTTCCTTGCACGAGTATACATCGTGGCTTCACGTAAGAAAGCCAAACTCGGGCCAACCGTATAAAATGTATGTAACACAGATCCAGCCAGACTGACTATTGAGACAACGCTTATATACAACGCTTATATTTCTTGTATATGCAAATACAAGTAGTACATCTTTTTTTCTTTGCATCATGAATGAGGGTAAATATGTCCTTCGACTTAAAACTGTTGTTGATCTTCTGCTGGCTAGGTATGTGTGGAGATTAAGCAAGAAAATGCATTTATTTTTAATTAAAAGGCTTGCTTTACTCACATCCTGGCCAGCAATGAATGTGCATAGTAACAGAGCTTATCCGTGAAGGAGTAAAGTTGTTAAGGATAATATGCGATGTTACTTTATTGCAATTTATGAATGTCTATGGCACGTCGTAAAATTATTGTTCACAATTTAAACTTAAATATTACCCCTATTTAGTTATTAGGATATTGCTGAATTGGTTAGCAATAGTGCCTGGCAATTGATTGGACGGAAACATGAAATATTTTCATTACGTATATATATATACTGTCTGCTATTTTTTAAATATGCACTGTTTTTGAATATTTAGAAAATTTGGTTGCTAATAATGTACATGCATTTTAAATGCCCCCACATAACAACAAAATTTTCGAAATTTTCAAACACAGTGCATATTAAAAAAGACAGTAGGATCAATACAGAAAGGTGGTAAAGGAACTTAGGATAAAATCATACGATAAATGTAACACAAATATGACACGAAATAAATATTAATTTTAAAATATTTTAAAAAATTAAGTAATTTTGTATCACAAAATGGTCACTGGTATTGAAATATACTCACTCATACTATTCTTGGAAGCTTAGAGATATTTGTTTTGTGCGTAATTATTGCAGTGAATTACTTGTCAGTTTACTATGAATATGTACATATTCCTAAATATGCATGAGGTTGAACCGTCAAGTCGTTGTCGTTGTTTCCAAACTGTCGTCAAAATTTTAACTAATCAATCAACATCCATGAAAAGTCTACTGTGACATAATTTGAGAACTAAAATTCGGCTGTTTTCCTGGACACACGCACGCATGGGACTAGACTTCAATTCCAACGTTAGAAGGTGGCTTTCCTTTTTTCCTTAACACATCTTCCTGATTTAAATTCACAGCCTCTGTTCTTGTGTGCCATACATATACCTGATTTAGGTTAAAATATATTTAAATATCTACAAAATATGAGTACATATTCATTTGTAGATTTATTGTTGTACCTTTGTGCAATTTTCTGCCTTAACTTCTAGCTCGTCCAAGGAATTGACAAAATGTTGCAAAAATATACTTTCCTGGTATCCCTTTTCCACTTCGTATGCAAATTTCCAATCCGATTGTTGAAAGAATCTTTTTAAATTAACTGCAAATCCGGCCATATCAATTGCAAATGGACGTTGGGGACTCCAAACTGTCAACCATCCTTCAACCTTTCCTAACATGTTAACTTTCGGACGTTCAACTAACAATCCTCCAACAAGTCCGACGGGCCAAACGCCGACACCTTTAACATTTCTCATCTACCAATTTTTAAACAGCATAGTTAGTAATAACATCATTGTTAACGTAATGAGAACGTACCTCGTCAAATACTTCCAAAGAGTAAGAATTGTCGTCGTCAACAAAATATATGACACCGTCAGTACCAGGATCGACATTATCACGTATCCATTGCAAGGCAGCATTTCTTTGAATAACACCTCTAGGTTTGTTCCATCGTGGTTCCTATTATAATCGATAGCTTAATATTTGACACAAACCATTCACAAAATTATTGAAAACAAAAAATTATTCTACTTTGGCACGAAGTTTCCACTCTTTAGGCGTCGCTGCATTAAGATGAATGAACTGCATTCCACTTTTTGCCAATAATTTTGCAACTACGTCGGTTTTCGTCTCGGAATCTTCTACAATTATCCAGCGCAAGTTTGGCACTAACATTAAAGTGTGCGAGAGTCTAAAGTAAATTAGAATCATTATTAATTAGCCAAAGTTTACTTGATTTATCATTATATTAAAGCTATGCACTTGCCTCGTCAACTCTGCTTTTTGCACTGGTCGTTTATGAGTTGGCGTTATTGCATAAATAATTGGAAGATTTGAAACATCGTCTTGTCCTCCATGGGGACATTTTGTCAACTGAAGTTGTAGTCTAGCCACCTAAGTAAACAAATTAAAACCCGTTGTAACACTTTATCCTGCAATTAACGTAAATAATAATTAACCTCTCTCTTATCACCTCAGTTTTAAGTGACGATATGAGATTCTCTTGACGAAGCGTAGTTTCGGAGATAAGACTAACTGATTTAGCATCACTAGTACCGCTCCACCAAATTCCTGTGTGCAGAATATCACGCTGTTTAATGTAATGCCGCTGCACAAGAAATATACCAATCATTCCAAGCTTACCTTTAATTCCCCACAATAAGAAAATAAGTATCACAATGTAGATGATGATGCGTTTATTTTTTAAGGTCATGGTTTCTTGCATCTCTTCCGTCGTGGCACGTTCCAACTTCAACAAATGTCGAAGAATTCATCCACCCAATCTTTCCCCACTACGTTCGGAAATCTATGAAAAAAACTTTAAACATTAAACCAATTCCTACGATGGTTTTCAATTTCTACTTCACATCACACTTACTTCCACTCCCTCCCCACGATTTTATACAATTTTCGAACTTTAACACTCTGGGACATTTACTTTACTACAAAATCATAAAGAATCACTGCTCTTTTCCGAATTATTTTAACGACTAAGCTAACGTGTAAATGTAGTATCAATTTGTTAACAATGTTGAGCCGTCTCAAGTGAGTGGATTAGTCAGTGGCATAATCCACATCACATCACACAATGTAAAGTCAGACAGAGAGAGTGGATTAGCAATCAGGAATCGCATCAGCAAAAATCCGCTGATTTTTTTATTACCTGCCTGAGATCCATCCAAACATTCCAAACTGCAAATCCAAATTGCTTTGTTGTTTAGCATTGAGAGTTAGTGCTTTGTGCGGATGATGTCACTGATTTTGTGCTTCCCTGTGTGGTTTTTTAATTATTTTGTGTTGTTGTAGATTGTAAAGCACTAACTCTCTGAGACCGGTTTAGTTTTGGCATAAAGTGTGATTCTCGAAAACGGAAAAGTGGGAATAAGAGTTCACTCACACTTTTTGTTCCATTTTGTACTTTTCACTTTTGAGTCAGGTGTTGTTCACGATCATCGTCTTATCTTAGGTATTTTTAATTGATATTATATTTCCGTTGTATTTATATGGTGAGAATTGTTCTGATTGTATGTTGATTTTAATTGATTGGTTCAATAAACCATTTTAACAGGAGGAAGCAGTAACTAGAAGTCGGAATTGATACTGAATCTCAACACGGCAAGACCGAGCGAGGATGAAAAAATAGTTATCAGATCCAGTCATCCAATTTGTCGAGTTATAAAGTAAAGTAAGTTATCAACTCAGGTCACCAGTTTAATCAAAATCTTGAGCGAGTTTACAAATTTGATTTATTTCAATTGGTCAGATATCTGTCACCTAGTGTTAGTAAGATGAATACTCCCAAGATCTCATTTCTAAATTATGCTGCCGAGGAAAGCATTTTCCGCAACGATCTCGTCGTCGTTAAAGGAGTCGTGGCTCAAGAGGAAGAGGGGGAAGAAGACGATACTGTCGAATCAAACTCTAATAAGAATAATTGGGCCCAAGATCTAAGAATTATTCACAATTCGACGGAAACAATTCCATTTAAAGCTGAAAATACAGCATTTATTTTTGCAACTCGTCTATCTCCTGGAATGAATGAAATCAAATTTGTCGGGAGAAACAATATCTGTTGGAAAGCGATGTCGTTAACGTACGAACCTTTGCAGATGGTCAACCATGACGATAGCTACAGCGTTGTCCCACTTCTGATGCTTTGTCGAGATGATAATCGACCAGATAATGTGATCAGGGACATCACTCAAAAGATAGAACTTATAATGAAAGTAATGCAAACGTTCTTTGAGGAAAAACTGTACGAACACGGGTTGCATAAAAAATCTTTCAAGCTGAAACGAGTGGAGATATTGCATTCTGAGTTGCAAATAAAAACAACTAACGAAATGTCGGCGGAGCAACTGTGGGAACAGCTTGCGTGTCAAATCAAAAGTTCGAGAGAGCTATGGAGTCCGCGTCACAAGTTTGTGGCATTCACCACAGCCCATTGCAAGTTGAATCTGCAGACCCAAGGCCAATCTCCTGATAAGCTTGCCTGTGGTGGAGGCGGCCTTGCCTTGCTTGGCTTTGATACATTTGAAGTATGGCCCAAAACCTCTTCATCACTACTCGATTCTATTTACGACCCATTACTTCTTGATGATGCGCAACTTTTGGAGACAGGACTGGGATTGGGTTTATCGGAACCCCGGTATGTATGAAGAATGGCTTATTATACTTTCCCAATTAGCTATCAAGTAAAGATTGCACTAATTCGATGCAAATATTTTATATTACAGCACGAGAGGAGGGTTACTTTGCGCGACGTTGGGCGCCCTGGCTCATGAGCTAGGCCATATTTTTGACCTAGGTCATTCTGAAGCAGGGCTTATGGGAAAAGACTTCCTGAAATTTCGACAGTTTTTTTCACCGGTCACCCAATTAAAGATAAACTGTTTTGGTTGTTCCAACATGTCGGTAGGGCGACGAGATTCCCGAAAGATTAACATAAGAAAAAAAAGTGACATCACTCTGACGCACTCTAGTGCAATCATTTTGTTTTACCATAGGTAATTTCTAAATTCATATCAACATACTTCATGGTCAATATCATTTAATAATGCAGTTTTTCATATATACTATAGATGGTTTGCCCATAATAACGCAGAATCGGAACACAAAGAGAGCCTAACATTCTCAAAGTAAGTGTACATATTCTTAAATTTAGAATTCACAGTATAATACCAAATCCTATACAATTGGCAGAAATCGGGTGACTACGTCCCTTGGTATCCTTGTGGCAGCAGAAATTCGTGACCCTTTAACTGGCTTAGTATACAAGACTTTTGAACTGGGAAACGAAAATCAAGAACTCATCTTGTCGAAGAGAGACGTCTTAATTCAACATGGCGAAAAGGCTCGGTTATTTGTTGAAGCATCTAACGGCGACTCACTCTCCATGGAAATATTCCGTGACAACTTACCGAACTTGTTCACTAATGTTAAATAAGTCTGAACCTAGTATTTTTTTAATCCGTGATAATCCCAAATTTGTTATTTACTGTGATATGTAAAATTATGATCTCTTGAATGCCAAATTCTTCGTTTCGTTACATTTAACCCATCTCTTCGCTTACACATTGTATCATATATTCAAGTATGAGCTTCGTTGAAATTTTTACATAATTAATTATTTCATGTGAAATAAATCTTTATTAAGACTGATTGTTCTAAATACCAGTTTTAAATCACCTTCTAAAATCGTTATTAATTGTCACAATAAGCTTAATAATTCGTTTGTGTTTTCCACATTTGAAACTTTCTCCTCCACAAAAGGATCGAATTTCATCCAAATTGGTATATGTAGTGACATAACATAGTGTAAAAGTTTTATTTAGAATACAAGAATTTGAAGCAGGTTTCACAAGAATACACAAAAAATTAAGTCACTAAATGGGAAAAACTTAATTATTTAGTTCTTGACATACATACATCCACATAGGTATTAGTTGTGCAGGTTGATTATTATTGACATTATGTAGGTATATGTATGGCGCATTCATAAAAGTTATCATGTTAAATGTTACATAGTGAAGATTGAGGGGGTATTTAAATTTTGTATGATTAGAGATTTCATTTCGTTCTGCTGTTGGTCGGATTATAAAATCAATCTGAAGCAGGAAGAGCCCATAAAGTTGCCGTTTTATCTGCACTCGTAGAAAGAAAGCTGAAATCTGTTGGGTGCCACCGTCCACAAATTACTTTGTCATCGTGAGATGCCACAGGCACAGAGGTGAGGTTGAGAGAGAGGTCACCTTGCAAATCTGTGAGCATGAGTCGATGATCATACCTGAAACAATGATTGAAAGAATTTTATTAATTGTAAGTTAAATTACGTCATAGTTCACTACATACTAATGCTAACTCAAAATTTGGCATTTTACTTACCCTCCTGATAGCAGATAGTATGCATGCGGAGAAAATCGAACCGATCGCACGTCTCCATTGTGTGGTCGGATGACCTGAATCTGTCGACTGCCACGAATATCGTAAAACGTGATGGCTGAATCTTCATGTCCAGAAAAAAACACGAGTTTCAATTATAATCCTCACAAAAGAAATATTATTTGAACATGGAAAACTACTATCAGCGGTACACAAGGGGCAGATAATTACAATATATTGCAATTAATATAAAAATAGACTTTTTAAAAACCATTTTCCAATTTATTTTTCTACTTGTACCTTCATGTCCAGAAATTAGTAGTCTGCCCGTAGGATCGACACACACCGACCCCACTGGAGATTTCGCCGTGGCGGAGGTGGCGCTCGTCAATGGCGATATCATGCTCACACACCCTCTGCTTCGCAAGTCCCACAAACGGATAGTTTTGTCCTGAGATGCACTAGCAAACATTGCTCCTCCCCAGTTGTACAGGGATAGAATTGGTGCTAATAGAGAAATTTTGTTTTTAATATTAACTTGTGTTCCAAAAATTACAGTTCCCCTAAACCCTGCCGTCACTAAAATCACCTACCTGAGTGACCCGACATGGATTGAAACGGTGTCCCGGTCGCGCAATCCGTCACATAGACCTTGCAATCTCCAGCACCTCCACTGACGAGCAGGGATGATTTATTGCTCAAATCTTCAATAAAGCAAATGTCTCGAACAGTGCCGTCGTGCATGCTCAGCTCCACTTCTTGAGAATGGTTGAACTGCTCGGTACGATTGAGGTCATCAAATCTGGTCAATTTAACCGTTTTGTCATTACTCCCCGTGGCCAAAAGGTTGCCATCCGGAGACCATCCGAGACAATAAATGGAACCCTAAAATGTTAACAGCTCAATGAACACATCCTGTATTCATAAAAACTTGATGTACAATTTAAGCTCGTACCCTGTGATGTTTATTCCTCTTGAATAGGACGTTGGGCTGAACGGGGTTTGAATCTTTCGAAAGCCTCTTCGTATCTGGATATGCACAAATTCTCAGCGATTTAGAATTGGATCCAACAGCGTACAAAAATCCTCTCGGATGAAATTCAGCACATCGGATAGCTTGCACATCCTCCAGCGTAGTGACCGGAACAAATTTCGGTTTATTAAGTTGGCTTCCTTCATTCTGAAAGAAAGAATCACAAATATTGCGTAAGTACTGGGAAATAAAAGTTGTCACCTTTTTACAATAACTTGGTTTACTAGCTAACATGTAAAATATATACGGTTGGGATCAAATCCCTCCAACGGTGCTGTTGTACACAAAGTGGAATAGCAGCAACGTTACATTGTCACTTGGCACCTTTCGAACTTATAATCTCTTTAACTTTAAAACAAATCCGTATAGAATCGACTAAAAGAAAGCATTTATGTCACCCTGCTCCACATGCAAATTTGCACCTTAATGCCTCCCATAGTAGTGCATAAATGCAAAGTGCTTCCTCAAAAACTAGTACATGCATTGTTCCTCCGATCTGGTAAAAAATGGTTTATCTCAGCAGACACTTCATTAGAATTTGTAGCTCAATATCAGGGAACAATTAGATAATGTATCAGTCAGTTGGTCGCTTGGTTAATTCCTCAAAAAAGGAAACAGATCATTGAAAGAGATGGGATGAGTAAGCTGGTAAAAAAAGTAACACGCTTTAGTGAAAAATCCAAACCCGCATTCATTGGACTATTTTCCAATGGCTTTTGAAAAAAACACACAATTTGCAAACAAATTACTAGAGCGTGCATCAAAAAAACCAATGCAAACCTCGGATTGATTTTCAATTTGTAAATATCTGCATTCAGTGTTAAAATGTGCGATTCTGTCGCTGCCCTTTGTTTCACAAACAACCGACGTGACGGTAAGCCAAAGTGATATTTTGGTCGTGTAGCAGGGCTATTCCCCGACAAATCGAAAACGAATGGCGCATGAATGAATGCATTATCTATTCTATGACAAAATTCGAATAGCGTAATTTTTATTGCGGATTAAATATCCATAACTTTTGAGAAATGCCACAATTTATGAAATTTCACGTTATTGTTGAAAAGTTTAAGATTGCATTAGAATAGAATAAGTTAAACCATGAATGACAGAAGATTTCAACGATAACGAATGTAAATACATTGCAGCAAAGAAAGGATTACTTATTTCGATTATTTTCTGCGCATCCAATTGTAATCGAATCCTGTGCTAAAGTTTGTCATAATAAATAATCTTAATCTGCAAGACCGTCAATATTTTAGACAGGGTTTTTCCATTATGCATTATTTGGCAAAGAAATTGGCCGTGTTGTTTACACCATAGAAAAAAATACCCTCGGATGTGTCTTGAACGATTATATGTAATTGCACTCACAACATTATGAGCATTTAAAAGCAATTAGTACATCGCATTTAGAGAACTTTAATTTCCTTTCCGAGCTGAAATGAGATTTTGATACGTCATGTCATCATTATTTACTACGGTTGACGCGAGTTCTTGTTTGACAAATTTTGTATGCGAACTTTTCGAAACGCCGTGTTGCATTGCAAAAAAATGCAATTTGCACCATTAGCACTACTGTCAATTCCTATTAGCAACTTTCAACATGAACAAATTCATTTCCTCTCCACTGCCGCTCATGTTCTCTCAAAGTTTATTTGAATACGAAATCAAATCAACAAAAACAAAACACTTTAGTAGATTTTAAAACGCTTGTGGTATAATTTTGTCACGGATGACAGCCATGTAATGACACATATGAGACGGATGTGCCGTTCAAGATAAATCGAGCAGTTTCGCACTTTGCCATTGTCAAACTCACGTTTGAGTAGGTAGGACAGGATTCATTTTTGATTTTAGTTTTGCAATACACAAATGACGGTCAATTTGAGTGATCTGTGTTCTTTTCTTACAGAGTGTGTTAATAATATCGGTTTTGATTGCAGCCATTCATGCATCTTGAAGTACTAATTCGCAGAATATGCCTACCTGCCTACATACCAAGAATAATTGTTCCTATGCAAATATAGAGATCACAATCGTAATTTACAAACGGCTACTGCTTGCTATAATTTTCTGCATCGAACTTGACAAGCAGCGTGCTCATTATTGTCTAATTCTATTTCCGTCATTATGCCTGCCTACATAGTTGCAGTGTGACAAGGCAAAATCACTTCCAGAAGTGATTGTAAATAAATTTACTTTAGGAACAGCTAATTGAATCGCATTCATTTGTATTGCAATCAGAGAAGTGAGACATAATGAGGATCAATCAATAAATAACAAAAAACTATGCACAAAGAGTCACCAAAAGTGGTCCGGATCAAAAGTATAATTGAAGCCTCAGCCTAGTTGAACATAATTGCATTCCACAATCCATTTTCAGAATTTAATGACCCATAATAATCTCAGTTCAGATAAGAAATAAGAGTCAACTTGGCATATGTTGTGTATCTTTATGCACGTCTCACTCATCGGATGCCAATGTTTCTATGCATTAGCATCTTGTGCGTTCATTGATATAGAAAAAATTGACATTCACAATTGCAATTACTAATTTCAAATTTATGACCGTGTGTACAGACCCATATCGACTGACGTGAGGAGTCATTAAGGAAATATATTATGTAGATGAGATGAGACACACACACTGGACGCCTGATTCAAGCCATAAAGTTGGCAATGTTAAAAATATTGAGTTATTGGCAATGGCAATCCATTATTTGGAGCAACAGTTTTACATTTTGTTTTGCATTTCCTTTTTTGGTTCGAGCTGAATAATTGCGAGATGACACGGTACGTGGTACATTGCTGTGAACCAGTGAGTTTACCTGTGATGATAATGGTAATGAATTTTTTAACGATGTGCTGCTCCATCTTTTCGATGGTTTAACATGATTTTAAGTGTCAAACCAGTACTCACCTACATATTCATTCACTATGTGTACTTACTTTGTTGACTAGATTTGTTAATTATGGATAGATGCGTATCAGATCGCTTTTATTGTCTTTCTCAAGGTAGCAGAAAGTAAAAATTAGTCCATGCCAAATCCAATTCGAGATTGGACTGGAGATTATTAACAAATAAATAGTACATGATCTCGTGGTGTCTGGTAGTCCATTAAAATTACAGGAAGCATATGAACACATTTTTTGTATGATGTGATCGTCATAAATCCACTGAGAATGATAAGTCACGTACAAATGTAATATTATTAATTAAGTTGGTGTCAATTTGCAAATTAAATATGTTCCAAGAGGCGATACTAGTAGTAAACTGTTAATAAACAAGTTTAGGTCAGTACTGGGGAACTTGATACAGGTAAATGTAAATGTATCAGTTACTCCTACATCAGAAAAATATGTAACTTTTCTAATGACCAGAATTATATTTACTACAGTCTCAAAATAAAAGCTCTACATATTTTCAACACACACGATAAAATGGAACTGTTTTATTGCCCTTGGTTAATATCTGAGTGAATATGATAATTATTATTAATTATCAGTAAATAAACAATAAAATATTTTAGACCTGCATATGCCATCAACACATAAAATCACGATATCACCTAAACTCAGGGGCTTTGCTTTCAAAGTTTATCTCACTCGACCTCCAAGAATTGTAGTTGACGTAGGTATGTAGTTTACTTTTCTGTCGAGCAAGTAATACTAACCAATTGACATATTGTTTAATTGCTTGTCATTATTTGTGACAAATGTCGAACTGTCCGATTACACGTAACTGATTAAACCGTCATAAAGTACATGTGTCCCAATACAACCAACGAAAGTGGAAGAATATCATGTCGCCAATCCATGAACAATACGTGCCACTACTTAAAATCGAAATTGCCAAGAGTGGAAAAATGACAAACATAAAAAAATAGGCGTTGACATTACCATAAAAAGAGAGCATTCTAACTAAAATGCATTTGAAGATGTGACAATGAAAAAAATTTGAAGTATAACAAACCCGTTTTCATTGTTATCCTCTGTTTCAGTTTTCTCCTCCAAGATGAATAATAACATTCATTTTCTAACGATATGATGATGACAGCAGAATTTATCATTTAATTTGACTTGTCAAAATATTCAAAAGATCTTTTTACTGCTTTTGCCACCCTCTAATAATTCTCGCAAATTTTGCACATTTTAAAATCCCAGTCTAGTCTCCTCCTCTGTCTCTGCTCCCCTTCTTGATTTATGAGAAAGTTCATTAAAAGGAGAATCGTGAACTTGGACAAAAACAAAAATAATTTTTCTTTCGTTTTGATTAACTATTCCTGCTTCGCCATCACCATTTTTTTGCTGGTTCGGAATTCTAAGACAAATTATGGTTTGTTTTTCTTTTAGAAAATATTTACAACTAGCTTTGTATTTTTTGAGATCCTTGTTAAACCTAGTGCAAATTATTTCCTGTTATTTGGAAATAAATACTTATTTACACTCGTGAACCTACATAGTTTACCCAAGATTTATGCATTTTTATTCGATTTCTACATTTCATACCTTATAATAGCCAACACAATTAATATAAATAATGCCAAGTAATAATTAACATACGTCAATCAGGTTCCTAACATCCATGGAATATCTCCTAAACGGAGTCGCAACAACCGCCCCATTTGGATGATGCGACGATAACTTATCCCTCGATCTCGACCTGGACCGTCGTCTCCTCGGTTTCTCACTACACGTACTCAATCTCGAGTTTCTCTGATTATTTGCATTTTTATGGTTGTTATTATTTAATCGAAAGTGATTTGGAGGGGGAGGTTTGTCCGCCTCGCAACAACAGTAGCAACAAGAACAACAACTCGTTCCCAGAGTGCACCCTGGGTACGAGTTGCCTCCCGAGCACCGTGCCCCCAACGACTTGAGAGCGTTCACTGTCACCGGATTCACTATTTTCCGAGCCCCCATGGGCAGTTGGAGGTGGTGTGGGTGTGCCTGACTTGTGGGGGCGAGGAGCAGAGTGGACGGTCCCATGTGTGACCAAAGCACTGCGGGAACCTTGGCACCGACGCCACGACCCCCGTGATGCTTGTTCCCATGTGTAAATGTAGGCTTTCGTGTCATCATTTTAGCCTTATTTTAATGAACTGTCAAATTATTGTTATTATTTTTTTACTTGCCGTCGTGCCTTGTTACTTTTACTACATAGTTCTTGAAAGCTAAGGATTTTTTCCCAGATATTAAAAAACTAGCGGCCTCCACACATAGTAAGTTATACATTTACAAGGAATAGTATCTGGGCTACAGGGCGTAACCTAAGGGTAAATATACACACTTAACTCTTATGAACCGGACAATTTCATGACAAGTAGAATATTTAGGGGATGAATTTCACTGAAATTGGCAATGTGAGAAACTGAGACAAAATGTGGTCACACGCCGAATTTCTTTGGCTGATATTGCTCCTGCACTTACGAGGAGAGAGAATGTGTGTCACAAAGAATAAGTTTAGTTTCGTTGGAGGCGATGAGAATGCAAGGATGACTCCCCAGTTTCAAATCACAACTGAATCCTATATCCATTCCTTCCTGCAATCTCACGCATTTTTTAACCACCACGTCCAACCAAGGCTGTGAAGAGGAGAGGTTCTCTGCAAAAGTAAATTGACTTATTTCTGCTTCAGGGGACAGAGAATTTAAGAATAAGGAGAAGGAGGCAAGCTCCCGAAATATGTAATTGCATTTGCAGATTTACTGCGGCATGGCACGAGGTGGGCTACCGAGGAGGCAGCAGGCGATGCGTTGAGCCACAATAAACTACCGTAATTAGGAAATAATTACCCATCTACATACATGTAAAGAATATTAGCGGTTGCTTCATGCCACCGAGATGGCCATTTAATTGTTGTGAATTTAACATGCGAACCCTTAAACTGTGTTTCTGCCACTTTACATACTTCTTCTTCCAGCACGTTTACAGACAGCACGCTCTTCGGATTCGGAACTTGAGCAATTTTACCGGAATTTGAATTAACGAAAGATAGTATTTTTCATGCAGTCACAGTTTGTTGCGTGTTAAAAATATGTTCATTGCGTTAATAAATGCGCCCAATTTCACGCTAGTATATGCACACACAAGTGCCAATAAGTGGCAATAAGCCACCTTTATTTCAATGCAATTAAGAAATGTCATATCTCATTTTTTTATGTACATGTGTAGCTGCCGTCCGAGAATAATTCGAAAGCCTGCAAGACAAAAACTAACCCACGACATATGTTATCTGCCAGAAATCAACAATTGACAGCTGCAACCAAAACCTACGAGAATCAGCAGCGGTTTTATCAATGCCAACTAATTGAGGACATAAAAATGGTTTATTAGCTTTCCTTATTGTGCTTGTGGGGCTTGTGGATGGGGTAAAGAAAGTGTATCCTAATCGTGAAGGAAGGAAATGAAGATCTGTCACAGGAATATTTTTTAAATCCTGATTTACTCTTTTACTGACGATTATAAATTTACTGTTTGATATTACCTGATTTTTTTCGGTTGTTGTCTTGCACAACAACCCACCCTCTGTCATCCAATATGTTAAATGAATTAGGTTAATAATCCGCTAATCTGGCAAATTATTTATGCATTGATTACACGAACTTTAACTTCAGAAGGATGGGACGAGGTCGAATTAAATATTTGACTTTCAGCTTACTTGACACAAATCGAAAGTTTGGTAAACCAGAAAACCCCAACAATTCATAAGTTCCTTCCCGTGCTATTCCATCCAACTTTGGGCTTACAATTCGTTTTCAGATTTCACGATGATGCATTCATGGGAAAGCTCAAGTATGTAAGTATGTGGTGCTCATCACTTGATAATTTCATTCATTTCACAAGTTCACCGCACTACGAGGACAGAATGATTCGATAACTGCTATGATTTCTTGCTTCTCTTGGTCATCAGTGCGGTCTCACAATAATTTTTGTACAAAATTCATAACTACCAGAAAATATGTATAACATTGCATACTGATAAATGCATCCTTTTCATTATGGCTTGACAGATATTAACAACGTCCAAGAAAGTGTTTAAAATTATTCTATTGTTGCTGCAAGTCTCACATTTCGGCAAAATTCTTCCCTTTCAAATTGCATTACAAAAATCTCAAGAATCTACGAATTTCTTGTGTCAGCGTCGTCATACTTAATACTGTGCGTACACAATGACTCTCTTGCTGTGCTTACTGTTCAGAACTTTTGGCGTGATGGAATTACTGTGTGACATGGACCTCGACTCTTAAACTCTCAACCGCTACTCTTGACACTTTTTACATGTTCAAAGTTACATAGATTTTGAAGAGACGAGCCCACTCTGTCAAACGTTTATAGTTTTCAAAATTCAGGGTAGGTCTCAATTAGACAAATAGGGCGAGACAATTAGTACTTATTTTATGCATAAAAGCGACGGAATCCACCTGCCTGACATTTCACTTGAGAGGAAAACCTACGTTTCTTCCGTTTCATTGAAGAACTTAATGATGAAATGTACCACTCGAAAAGATTGATTGAGCTGCCGGTTACAAATTATTTTTCATTAAAGTTTTTTTTTCCTGAATATGTATGCTCATCTTCCATTGATTAGTTTGTCGGTGGTTAAAAACTCGCCACATTTCATTTCATATTTATTTTGACAGTGCGTGTAACCCACGACGGTGAGAAAGCGATGCGTGGTTGGACTGATTGATGACCAAATTGTGAAGTGGCAGCTGAGGAAATTTGGAGAGTCGTCATCTAAGAAAGTGCAGAGTTGTGTTATTATTTACAATGCTGCATGAATACGGTAATGGTCACCTATTGAGGGGTTTATCTCATATTTTAATTTCACTACGACCACAACATCATCACCCATTCACAGGAATTATGGATTCAATTTAAATAACAGTGACAAAAAGAAATGAAAAGTTAAAATCGAACGTGGTTTCCTTGAGGGTTGTCACGAATGTAAGCGGTATTTTATTGCGTATGTTTATTTATGAGGAACTGCATCTCATACTTTAAGGATGGAAGTATAAGTATTATTGCAAATTAAGTGCGCTTTACTCACCAGTATTGTAAAGAATAAAAGTACACACAATCAAAATTCAAAATTCATAGACTATCCACAAAATTAATTATAAGCTCCAAATTTCTGTTGGATGTTTCGACAACGTAATTTGGTCGACAATAATAATCTTAATCTCATCCATATTCGAGTATGCATGGCCAGTCAGTCAATTTAAATTTGAAATCAACCACATAATCATCGTTTCTTATTCACCTGCATAAAGAAAACAAAGACTTTGTCTGTCAGTCAGTCAAAAAAAAGTATTGGAACCGATTCTCACGAAAGGGTGAAATTGGCATCTTCCGTAACTTTCATAGATGGCTAATTTAACGTGAGAACTTCTCTAAATTGCTTCTTAGCGAAATGAAAAAAAGATCTAATGCATTGGAAATGCGCAAATTTTTTCATGCTTCTTTTAATGACCAAGCTCGCAAATTTTGAAATTTATGTATTATCGACTTGTTATGGGTAAATGTCAATTAAATACCGTTCTGTCAATTTCACGGGTGCAGTTCAATTGTTGGAGGCGATGGGGTTTAAATTTAATGAAAAAGACATGGCTTTTACTGTATCGAGAGTAATGGAATTGATCGATTGCTTCATTATGTAATTTCTTTCTATGAAGAAGCTGTAAACTGAATGGCTTTTTACAGTTTAAATCGAAAGTGCTGTTGTTCTACAAGTCGAAACTGAATGCATTTTTGACACTATTCGTACCCCAAAAAAACACTCATATGTGCAGCACTGTGAATCTAATAGTTAGCTCTTGAGACTTTTTGCACCATGTCATTCATATCTGTATGTGCATATCTATGTACGTACCTCAAGTCCTATTCTGTCCTATAACATTTTTTTTACTATTCGATCCTGACTTATCAACACAAATTTCTACTTTAATTGAAGAAATTTAAATGACTTCATGGGATCAGTTTAAAACAGATACTCCTCGATTTTGCACGTTCCCCAATTATAAACGTTGGTTAAATTAAAGGAAACATGTCACACAGCCCAGTTCAATTAACCTGCTTTAACAAAGTATATTCTTGTAATTGACTATTGACCTAGCAGTGAAAATAGCTAGCAATTCTTTATATTCTAGTGCTGCATATGTACGTGGGCGTTATTACCCAAAAGCATAAAGAACATGGTACACACACACTGCAGAAGAATTGTTCATCTTCTAAGTACTTTGGCTTGAAAAATCAAAAGAACTTTCATTTGACACTTCATTGGCATTCACAATTTCATGGTTGCTGCTGTCCCTGTTTATTAAGTATAAACAACTGTCACACTATTTAGCACTATTTAGAACGATAAAACGCTATTGGGACTACTCGTTGTGATTTTGTCTGCTGACTGAGTGGCGAGTGGAGCATGTCTTTTGTTTTAACAATTTTCTCGCTGTCGAAATCATCAGAGATGTTAAAACTTTCAATAAGAGGGCAAATCTCGAGAGCTTTCCAAAAATCAACACCTTGATTTTAATTTGTGTCTTTAGTTGCAAGCCGTTTGGTAAATATGTAATGTTGAAAGAATGCAGGACTAAAAGAAAAACGTCTGGAAATTGGTAATTGATTAGCACTAAAAATAGCCTGACTGACGAAGATGTAGTATTTATTGTCCATACAGAGAATGTCTCATTCGTTAAAGGATTGCTTTACGAAAGCCAAATAATGGATCACGTAACCAAGAAAGAAAGAAGTATGGTTTCATCCATTTTTTATCTGATTGATGCCAAGTTGGAGGAATGGATCTCATGTGTCTGCCCCCTGCTGGTGTGAACAAATGGTTTCCCGTCTCTCCTCCTCGACCAAGAAATGAAAATATGTATTAAACCTGCGACGACGACGATCAGATTATTATTGTTCCTTCAATGGAACACAGTTACAATTTGTTTGCCGTACATGGGGAGAATGTATGTGTATGTATTTTCTATTATTACTATTATCCCAAAGTTCACGATGCCATTCCGACTTTCGACTTGACACCATGTTCATTTCTCAAATTTGCAAAATTTAACCGTGCACGTTTACGCTGACATTCATACAAGACGACGAAGATGAAGAAGATAAATTATGCATAATTTTAGATTGCCCTCGCCTAAACAACTCGTAAAAAGGATGCATAAGTTGTCACAACAAGCGTTCCATTTCTTTATCGTAAAGAATTATTTACTCCTTATGCATAAATTTAACTGCAGAGATAAATATTGTAATAACAATGTACGAAAACAGGATCATTGCAACCTCAAGCCCACCTTTGTCAACGATCATATCATCAGATGGGAAAGAAAAAAGGTGGAAAATCGGGTATAAATCATTCATGTAACGTATTTTTGGACGCGACCAGCTAGGGAAAACCTGTGAATGTTACCATAAAAGTCCATTTTTGTCATGAGCTATGAATCATCAACAACTAAACTGGTATATTCTAATGTGAACGGCAGAATAATTATTTTTTGCTGTTGTTGAGGTATTCC